ATTTTTCTCCACGACATCTGTCCTTAATCTGGTCTTTATTAGGATTAGAAGCATTGATTCCCCCCCCCCTGCATAATGGTGAAATTTACTTCTAGAGTGTAGAAATATGACCAATACTTTAAATGGCTTTAAAAGGTAATATATAAATTCATGAGAGATAATACCTATTAGTGATTGTTAGTCATATTTGATAAAATGGATCTCCTAAGAAGCAATATATTTTGGAATATTTTTAATAAAAATTGAGCAAGGGCTGTTTTTACATAATTATTGAATTTCAAAAATCAATAAAATAGTAGATAATAGAAAAAGAAAAGGGGTAAGCAAGCAAGAATTATATCCACTAATGTAGAACTAGAATAGTTTTGAAAAACATCACATTATAAGGCAGATTATTGGAGTTACATATTCTTTTTAGTTATCTTTTTGCCATAGAGTGATGGTTATATCTATTAATGTCATTGTATTTTCAGTTTAATGTTCTACATGCCTTTAAATCTGCTAAAAATTGGAACCCCTTCCCCATGATAAAAAAACTCAAATTCCCAGGATGAGGTGATGACAAATCTCACTGATCTAAGAGAGGCTCACATTGATAATGTTGGATATTGTTTGCTATTACAGTAATATCATTAAAAACATGAAGGAGTGCTATGAATGCTTCCCAAATTTAAGGATGAGAAATAGATGTAATCTGGCTAATAATGATACTACATATGTTTAGGTACCTGGTATTAGGAATAATATTAAATATATGAATCAATAACATACAAACACTTGTATAGCAATTTTTGAAGTAGATTTTAAAAAATGCAATATAGAAAATTCATGTAACTTCCAGTATTTGATTAGAAAAGATTAGTAAATTCACATAATTTAGGCATTTTTATTTGCATAATTTTAGACAGTCATAATGAAATAAAGCATTGATTTGATAGTTTTAATGAAGCACAAGGAGTTGGTTTGTGATTTGTGGATTGTCCTAGACTCCTTCTTAAACAATAAGTGGAATGGGTAGCCAGGGAAGTCTTTACTCAGTTGTTGCAAAGTTATAATATATTCATTGTATCTCTGCTTAGACCCAGATATCCCAGATATCCTATATGCACTGATCACTTGATTGGATTACTGTCACATATTCTATACAGGAGTTGCTTTTCAAGATGACCTGGAAACTATAGCTGGTACAAAATGTAGTGGCTAGAATTATGGTGGGACAACTTATCAAGGTAAAATAACACCTATTTTGAAATCACATTGGTTGCCAGTTAACTTCTAAACTCAATCCAGAGAGCTGTCATTACCTTTAAAACATATTTACCTTCGACATTGGGGAATATTAAGTACTGTTTTATCAACATCATATTGGCCTATCTGTTCCAGTTGTCAAGTAAAGGTCTGTTGTAACTCCTTGGAGTTTATTGCCACATGATTTGTGCAGACTAGAGCCCATGAAATGATATAAATGTAATAAATTTAGACACTTAGCTAGAGACTGTAAACATTTATCTCTCCAAGATTTCATCTCAGTGGCTTTGCAAGAATGTCATAAAGGAAAATGATGGTTCCATTAAGAGAAAATGAGTAAAAAGAATTTGGTTTCATACAAGCAATAGATGGTCTTGTTGCACCTTTTGTAGTGAAGAGAGCCCCTCAGGGAGGTGAAGAGGCAAATCCAAAAGGTGTCTATTATGAAAATTGAAATATAGGTGAAAGAAATCAGAATAATATATTGGGAAATGATTATACTAAAATATATCTCTTCTTTGGGACTGATTTTCCCAGGTGCTGGAAAATTAAAGAATTAGAGGGAAGACAAGGAGTGGCTGGGGTCACTAAAAGAATCAAGCCATGAGGCAGTAGATATATTAGATACAAGAGGAATCTTGCTCTTTTGCTTTCTTTCAGCCTAACTTAATAGGAAATATTAAGGTAAATAAACTTAGGGGTCAACCAAAAAGGAATTTGCCTCTTTCCTTGGAATTAGATATTGGGCCAGCATTATTCCAAATGCTGTTGGAAAATAATTGGGAACAAAGGAAAGGACTGAGAGAAACAACCAGTATCCAAAGGAAGAAATGGGATATTATATTGAGTTAGTGCTCATTCATTAACCAAAGAAAAATTGAACAATTATTTTTCTTAAAAGTACAGAGGTCAGATTTTCTTACTTGCCCATGAGAAAGTCTAATCAGGAGATATAAGCAGAGATATCTTTATATTGCATCCTTGAGATAGTCTGTTGATAGGCATAACCAGATATACCAATTCTGGTATGACTGTTGGTCATGCCTGGAATACCAACTTTTCCAGCAAAAGGGACTAAGGAGCAAGGCATCAATAGTGCCTACAATCTCTCTAGTCCCAGTTTTACAGAGATGAGAATACATATAGTCTCTGATGACCCAGGGTGGGATACAAAAGCAATGTCACAAAAACAGGTGAAGTCCCTTTAATTCCTTCAACTTGGCTTTAAAGATCCAATTATCATTGACTGGAGAAAAAACTCCCCCACAAACAGTTGCGAAAAGGAAGAACTTCTATTCAAACTCAAAATACCTATAAATTATAGATAGAAAAAAACAACACAAACCACACTGAAGAATTAATGAGACAAGGCAGGATAAGGGCTTGAAGATGTCCACAGATATCGAAATACACACACTGGGAAGGACGCCAGAACTCAGATAAGAACTGACAGACTAGAAATATTTTCATGCTTTGCTTCCAGCACTGGCCCATGCACAGTTTATCCTGTTAAACAGTGCTCACAGCTGCAGCCCATGAAGGGGATCAAGACCCTTTTCTCCCCTGTAGACCACACCATTCACATTTCTCCCTTATCTGCTCCTCCCTGCATGCTCTAGGATGAAGAGGGGATGGGCCTGGGTCTTCCTCTGAATGCCCAGCCAGCCTGTGCCCTTCCCCAGGTTTCCTCCACAACCTCTGGAGCCACACTCCCACTCCCTGTTGGTTGTTCCTCTACTCCCTCGGAGTCAGATTCTAACAGGGGCATGACAGTCCAGGCCCGAAACACGATGTTAGGTGATCAGCCTGGCTGGACGCCCCATCTCCAGCATGCATACAAAAGGAAGTGAGCGCAAGGGGACCGACATTACTTGGCAGCTGCTACAGCCTGCTGGCCCGTTGGTCGCCACACTCTGGGGATTTCTTAAATAGTAAGATAATTGACAAGATTTTGCAAACTGCAATTCAACAGTACAGGGAACAAAAATTACAGAGGTAGAATGTTGAATTTTAATCATTCTTTTTAAATTTTTTTTATAATGTTTTTATGCTTTAATATTTTATTTGTACAACTCCCAGATTCCCCCTATGGGAGTAGTGGGGAGTTTCAAAATTGGATGGATAGATAGATGGACAGGACAGTGTCTTATTCTGAAAAAAAGGAGATGTCAGATCCATGTATCTGCCATTCTTCAATGGAAGAAGGGGGGGGGAGAGTTGGTACAAGTAATCCTTTTTTATGTAACCTGAATATGTTAAGCCTTGTATTGAATCTGTATAACTTGCACATGATATATGACTGGAGCCAGATGCCTGGAACCTTGTCACCTGTTGGAGAGATAGCAGGAGGAGAAGAGACCATAAGAATTCCAGATCTGAAAGGAACTGCCTGAGAAACTTTTCTGAGATACATTCCCAGAAAAGGGGGGGGGGATTAACATGTTGTTTCTTTGGTTGACTAAATCCACATCAGAATAAGGGGAGGGGTTCTAACTCCCTTTATCTGTCCCTGTATGCCTGGCGGTATCTTAGACTCTGCTTTGACTAGTATCTGGATTACTCCTTTCAATAAAGAATTCATTTTGAAGTACCTAGCTTTCAGAAGTTCATTCTTTTCGGTTGAAGGGAAAAAGTCTAGTGCTTACAGTAGACTCAAGTCTGCAAAAAAAGTAGCAGAATCAAATGGATTGCAACAGAAATTCTAGGAACAGTGTCAGGTTATCCTTTATGAACTAAAAGTTACCTAAACGTGAATCATGCAGAACAATTATTCTTAACATATCAGTAAAACCACAAAAGAGTGTTTATAGCCAGGTTTTATGTTTTGGTATAACTGAGTGGGATCTTAATTTTATTGAAGTGTTGTGACCTGATCTAAAGTAATTAATTTATGCAAAACCGTTCTATAATAACAGTGAGTTGAAGCAATTTTGTAAAGCCAGCTTAAATGTCTTTTTCCATGTAGGGCTCTAATCTGTTTACCTTGCATTAAGTATTAATTTACTAGTCTGTAAAATTAAGAATACTGTATAATAGTTTGCACCCACTGTTTTGTGTATTGGACTGTACATTGACCTCTTCTAATCTGTTAGCCACTGTTCTCCAGATTTGCTGATGCAGCTTAGTTAGGACCTTTATTGATACTTCTGTTGCTTTCCATATTTCTGTGGGCTTTCTATCAGTCCTAGCCTTCCAACTTAGTAATGACCAGAATGGTGATTTAACTCCATCTTCTAATAGTAGAGATTCTTAAAACTAAGGGGGTATATGAAATGTTAAAGTCAGTATTGTAGAAATCTATATTTTATATATTATGAACGATCAGCACATTTTTGTGAGATGCTTTTCGTGTGAGAGAAAAGAAATGGATGTAGAGTCCTGACATTAAAAATCTTTAGCTTTGATAAAATATGAGTATGTAAGTATTGTGAACATAAATTATCAAAAATTTGACTTTTGTAACATTTCAAGAATCTATAGCACTGTAGATATAATTATTTATTTGTTACCTTGATATAAATCATTAAGTACTATGTTTGCTCAGTTTAGCAGGAAAATGACCTAATTGACTGTTTCACTAGAAATATATGTACTATCATAAATATTGATAAGTTCAATGATAAGTTAGCTATATATAATCATAAAACCCAATAGCTTAATATTGTTTATCCAAGAAATGCATCAGAAATAATGATGGCATCAAAGAGAAAATGTTTATTTAGTATGAATTTTTTTTTTTTGTTTTGTTTTAGGGTCATGATGAAGAAGCTGTTGTGGATACAGGCAAAATCAGTTCTACTATCAACACAAACTTTGAGAAAGAAGAATTAGAAAGTAAATATTAACACATTTTTCAAACATAATTACAAATAAATGAAATAAATGAGCAATTCCAGTACTCTATTTGTAAAATTGTAAAAAAAATGTGTTTATAATTTATAATACTATTTGAAATTTCTGGCTGGGTAGTGAGCTCATTGCATAATATTAATAAGATTTGTATTTCAACCAAAAATTTAGTTTTGCCATGCCCTCATAATATATAATCTACTTGAGAAAATAGGAGTGAACTTTTATGGCAGCAACAGTAACACCACAGCTGAAGAGTTCTCTTAAGTAGTTCTCCATTTCAGAGTGATATGACTGGAAATGAAGGACAGAGTTGAAAGTTCTTGGCTGGTAATCAGTTTCCAGATGAGAATGTTACACAGAGGGCAAACTTACTTGAACAAGAAACCTGAGTGAGCTTTTCAACTTTCTTATCCAGAGGAATTAAAAGGATTATGGAAAGCTTGCTTGTCTTATTCTTCTCTCCCATTGGTAGGCTATTTCAGTCTACACAAAAATACTGGTGCCCCCAGTGGTGGTACACTGCTATATTATATAGTATGTTTCAGTGCAATGCAATACTGATACTATTGAGCTCCACACTATAAGCCTAGATTTTAATACTATTTTGTTAATTGAGTTGCAGTAAACTATTATTTATTTATTTAGTGTATCGCAAATACATGGATTTATCACACATTGGGCTGGTGTAAGCTCTTGATGGACATTCAGACACAATATATTTTGTCGAGGAGCACCACAGTCACACTGAGGGCTATCGTATGCTGCAGTAAGGTTGATGAATACAGCTGTGGTTTTTAAGCCTCACTGGAAACCAGCCTCAATATGTCCTGTTGGACCCAATATGTCTTGTATCCCTTGCCATGTATTTAAAGAGCCAGGAGTTTTACAAAGATGTCTGGCTGCCAACTGTTGTTAACTTCCAATTCTTCAATGTAGTCTGGTTGCCAGTTGTTGCTAGTTGTTTGGTTCACACTACTATCCAGGGTGCATCACGAGAAGGCGAATTAACAACAAACCCTGCAATAAACTGTTTAAGGAAGATACAGTGAGCCATATTAATACTCTGCACTTTCTACATACATGCAATTAAAATTAGAGTAGAAATATAGATATACTATATGCTTTTCACTGTCTTTTTAACTTTTCCTTTTTTGGTTTGTTATCTGTGGAGAAAATTAAACAACTTGATTATATAACTATTTAGACAAGATCAAATCATAGTTGAAGGAGTCAGTGGAATTGAAAGCTTTTATTATGTAAAATATGATAGAAGGAAGCTCACTACAAATTTTATTCAAACATTTTAAACTAGGATTGTGGTGTTTAAAATAATTTGCATAAAGGGTTCAAGGGTTCAGCTGAAATTTTTTGGAGTGAATGAGCATTTACTTATATTAAAAATGGGGCTCCTGAAAGAACCTTGAGAAAAATGACTTGTGCCAGCATATACAGTATAATTTCAAAGCACATATAATGGGGAAGGGGCAGTTAGCTTGCATTTTACTTTATTTTTTATCATATATGTTTGAATTTAATAGTACCGATAATTTAAAACAATTATTTTGAAGTAACTATTGTACCTTATTTCACATACTTTTGCCAAAAATATACATAAACTCAAATACATATAGCAATAATGAAACTGAAACAAAAATCATTTGCATGAGAGACTTCATTGTTAGCATAAGAATGTCTTTAGTGTTATTTTAAAAAAATCATGAATTTCATACATTTGCATTTGTTGTATTGGAAATTAGTAACTGTGCTATTTTTTGGTTCTGTAAGTATTTTTATAAAAAACCAGTTGACTTGAAATGTATATGGTGTGCAATTTATATAACTGTAGTGAATGTTAATTTTTTTTTAAATCTCAGTGCTAATGACCTTAGTAACCAAATACACTTTGTAAATTTTCTGAAGTGACCTTGCATAAAGTCATATCTGATCAAGCCAAACTACCTCTGCAGCTATCTGTTCTATATTTAGTATCCTACATTATGTTAATGCTGTTATAAATAGTGATTTAAGCTAATACTGTAACAGGCTTTGTATGGGATCAGTATGTTACAGCTGTTGTGCAGGTGAGCTTTCTGAAATTTAGGTAATAATTTACTTAAATGCTTTATACTAGGGATAGTTAGCTTGCTGTCTTCCAGATGGTGGATGATAGCTTTCTAAAGCCCAGCCAGCATGGCTAATTGGTTAAAAGTTCTGAGAGTTTTAGTGTGTATTAGGCTGACTCATGTAAAGAAAATAAGTCCAGCTCCCCTCTTGAGATAATGATTTATTCATCAACAGAAAGAGTGATTCTAGAACTCCCAAAAATCAGGAAGAGGCCACAGGACAGCTGGATGCATTTGGAATTAAGTATTGGAATACATTCAGATTTTAGCTTTCTTGCCAAAATAAGCTGTATGAATCATTATGATAGAAAAGAATATTAGACATTGTTCAAACTAGATTTACCAGTATAACAGTGCTAATAATGAATTTCTTATAAAATAAATTCCTATCCATTTCTATTCCTTTAATAGTTTCTTTTTAATATCAAATCAATTTATAGGAAAATTTATCTCAAGACATATTTGGCAAAAGAAGTTATACAATATTGCAATTTGTAAAATAAAACAAAGAAAGAGTTGATGTTCTTAATACATTAAAACATGCTATAAAATTGACTTTCCTGTTAAGCTTTTTGTCACAAATAAGTTACATGCAACAAAGAAACTTAGTTTTGAAGAAACACTTTTATTTTGATTGTACTGAAAAAGTTTCTCTGAAGTCTTTTAAAATTTAGTGCAGCTTTCAAAACATTGCCAGTTCTTATTTCTTCCCAGCAACATTAGATTAATTAAATTATCAGAAATGTAACCTGACACTAGGATGTTTCTTAAGCTAATATAAGAATAAGCTGTAAGTTAGTGTAGTGTCAGATGATGGGTGGAGGATAAATGCCCTTACCTTGAAAAAGGAGGAAAACAAATAATGTATCCAGAAAATGTCTAAAGCAGATAATAAAGAAGTCTTCAAAAACATTGTGGCAGTTACTAGACTTGGCTTTGTCACTAATAAATAAGCTACATTTTACCTTGCTTTTTTGTTCATTTATTTACTTTATTAATTCTTTAAATAGGTTATAGTAATAGGGCAGTGACATTTCTTCATAGATATCTTGCTGGTTTTTCAACTTTTGAAAACTGTAGGCGTAAGCTCCTCATCTATAATAGGAATTCCCTATGCCTCTGGCATAATATTAGAATGATGAGAGTGTTATCTTGGCACCTCAAACCTTATTCTGGAAGTGATTTCTTCAGGTTATGAACCAATTGACTTTAGATACTTCTAAATTGCCTGTAATAGGAACCTCAGAGTTAGCTTTCTGGTATACCATATATCAGTATGCCATTTGTGCAATTGCCAAAATTCATACTGCTGTAAATGAACAGGGGATTAACCACTCTATAGCTTATTATAATATTTGCATAACCATACATTTTATCTTGGAGCCCTGGTGGTTCAGTGGTTAGAATGCAGTTTTGCAAGCTAATTTTGCTCACAGTCTGAGTTTGATTCTGACGGGGCTTGAGGTTGACTCAGCCCCTCATCCTTCTGAGGTTGGTAAAATGAGGACCCAGATTATTAGGAGCAATATCAGCATATTGTTCCCAATAATCTGGGTCCTCATTTTACCAACCTCACAATGATGAGGTTTACATTGTAAACTACTCACAGAGTGCTATAAAGCACTATGGAGCAGTACATAAGTCTAACTGCTATTGCTATTCTAATTATATAAATTTGGTCAGAGGAGAGAAGCCAGAGAAGGAGAGAAGGTCTCAGGGAAATAGTGTTCGTTCGTTCGTTCGTTCATTCATTCATTCATTCATTCGATATGAAACTTTCTCCATCTCAAATGTATACATGACTTTGAGTGCCCCACAATGATTAAAAACAAGGTGAAATTTATTATAAAACTGGTCCTGGGGTTATGATGCTAACCGGGACGGCTATTTTTTGTGTCACTAAGTGATGCAATCATGTGACTTCGAGCTTTATGACTGCATTCCCTTAGTGATGACAATCCCAGTCACTTTTGCCATTGTAACATAAATATTACTTATAACAGTACAGGTAGATACAACTGGGGGAGGGGGAGAGATAGTCCTGCAAGCAATCCAGCCGCATGAGGAGGTTTATAAATAACTACCAGACTGCCATGCCCCTGTCGGACTCTGACTCTGACTCGGAATCTGAACAGCTGACAGGGAGTGGGAGTGTGGCTCTGTTGGCTGTGAAAGAAACTGGAGAAGGGCAAAGTCCAGATGGGCAGAGCAGGGAGGAGGTAGAACAAGGGAGAGTGAATTCAGAGAAAGACCACCCCATGCGGGGAGGAACGGAGAAGAGAGCAACGTGGGTTGCATGGCTTATGGGGGAGGAAAGGGCCCTGATTCCCTTTATTAGCTGCAGCTGGGAACAGTGTATAAAAAAGGCAAGCTGTGTACAGCAAGCTGTTGGGAGCAAATGTGACTTTAACTTGTATTGTTGTGGCTTATCTGTGTTCTTGGCATCTTCCCAACTGTGTGAGTTTTGCCATGTTTTCAAGTTTGAAATTCCTGCTCCTGCCCTGCCAAACAAGTTACTTCAGTTTGGTTTGTTTGGATTTTAAGTTACAGTTTGTGTGTACCTTGTTTTGGACTGAATTTTCTACAGTCAAAGGCTGTTCCTAGGAGAGTTTTTCTGCAGCCCAAAGGTAACCTGGACATTGGGGGCAAAGTTGGAGATAATAAAGGGACTCTTATTGCTTATCTGTGTTGCCTTTGTGCCATGGCCCGGGTCTTGAATTGAATCTGGAAGCATGATGGCAACTAATGCAGCTGAATGAAAAGTGCCCATACTTCACTATATATTCAGGAGATAAATACGTGGTTTTAGTGGCCTATGTCTCCCAGAGGTGAGACAGGCTCCATATTCCTGCCCTTTTGAAAAAGGAGTTAAAACATGGCTCTGTGGCCCTGCATGGGGAATCTAAAGCAGCATGCAGCGGGGTTGATTGGTTCCTTGAGCACCCATCCTTTGCTTTTGTCAATTAATTTTTAACAGGTTGTTGCCTCCTTAATTATTTTTAATAATTTTTAAATTTTTACACTTTAATTTCTACATTCTGTTTAATATTTTGATACTTCATTATACACCAAGGAGAATCCTTCTTTGAGGGATATTGGAAATTCAGAAATATTAAATATAAAAATAAACAAACTTTGAAGAGGAAGAGACTGGATTTTCATTAGAAAATAAACCATGTTTTATTTCTAATCATAAAAATAATGAATTACAATATGAAACTTTTGCATAAATTTTCATTTCTTTTTTTAAAACCTTAAGATAAAAAAGTTAAATAATCCTAAACTAGCAGATCTGGTAAATAATTTTTGTTGCCTGTTGTTTGATCTTCTTTTCAACAGTGGATATCCAGCAAATCAACCTGTTTTGCAAGCCTGTAGTATGCTCTGTGTTTTTCTCTTTTGGGGGGCAATTTAATTCTTTTTACATTTCTAATATATTGAATAATGTTTTGGTTAAGGTCATAGAGCTGTATATATTGGTGTGCATGTGCCCTTTGGAAAACAAGGTCGACGCCGTCATAGACATCATAGTCATAAACGTCATAGACGAAGAAAAGAAAAGGAGACTGATAGAGAAGATGGGCGGGAATCTCCTTCTTATGGTAAGAACTTTACATTTATAATTAATCTAAAATGGGTCCACTTTACATTTATAATTAATCTAAAATGGGTTCATGTTTGTTTTTTGGGATACCAATTTATGGTATGCCTTGTGACAAGATGAGCAAAATTTAATAAATAAAAGTAAAAAATGTAATTCAATTAAACAGCTTTTCTAGTTTCCTAAATTTATGGTGTATACGTGATATCGTATTTTTCAGAGTACAAGGTGCTCTGAAGTATAAGACACACCTAGCTTTTGGGGAGGAAAACAAGAAAAAAATTCTGCCTCTGCCTCTGCTTCCCAGCAATTTGCCTCCCTGCAGCAAACAACAAACAGCCTGTTTCAGTTTCAGTTTTGGTTTCAGCACAGCCTGATTAGCACAAGCAGCTGATTGTCAGTTGGCTCGGCCTCCCGATGATCACCTGTTTCAGGCTGCAGGGATTGCCATTGCCTATTGCCACCTCTGGGTGCCCCATTTTCAGCCTCTGCACGCCCTGTTTTTGGCCTTTGCATCCTGTTTTCAGCCTCTGCACGCCCCATTTTCAGCCTCCACATGCCCCATTTTCTGCCCATTCCAGGTGGCGGGGATTGGAATGGGTGGAAAATGGGGCACACAGAGGCTGAAAATGGAGTGTGTGGAGGCCAAAAATGGGATATGGAGGCCGAAAATGGGGCACACAGAATTTTTGTAACTGGACATCTACAGTCCAAATAGAAATGTCGAGTAACAAGTTAAACAAAGTTTCATTAAACATCTGGTGTATAGCAGGAAGATAATTACCACTGTTTTATAGCCCTGGGGACTGTTAGATATAAACAGAATTATTGTTTCTCGGCAATCCAGGAGTGGAAGGGGAAAATATCAATATTGTCTCACAAATGCTAATGCATTAATAATTTAATAACCAAGGAAAGTCTGCACAGAAAGAAAAAAAAACCCAAAACTTTGCTGAAATTGGTGGCCATGTTTGCAAACTTTAATATGCTATACAGCTCTAATGTCTCCCGCTGCAATCCTGGGCTGAACTAGTCACAGATGTCCCTGCTGTTGGCTGTCATCAGTTCCTGTTGGAGCTGTCATCCCAGTAGACCAGGCCTGGTGAGGAAGATTAAGGTGCGATTAAGGCAGACTGTTGATTCTGGATGGTCGTGCTGCCTTGGCCTGGGATGGTGAACATAGCGAAGTCAGGACACAGCCGGGCTGGCTGCTTGGAGGGAGTTGGGCAATGCTGCCCATGCTGAGCTGACCAAATCTCTCAGGGAGGCCAGCTAGCAATGGACTTCAAGACGGCAGTGGGAGACCCCATTCCCTGGACTTGCTTGGCTTGAGAGGTCTCATTGCTCTCTACTCAAGGACCGTGGTACGCTCCACCCTGCCTGATGCAATCTGGGGATTCTGGAGTGCTGTCCTGATAGCCAACTCCTGGGGTGTGGGATTCCCACAGCATTGCCCCATTGGGAAGGATCTAGCTGAGTGATCTGCCAAGGTGCCAGTTCTTTGGGCCAGACGCCCCACCAATGCTTAGCCTCACACTTGCCGAGAGGGAGTAAATAATTTTGAGGACAATCTCTGAACTCTCCCCAGTAGCTCTTTTCGTAGTTGCTGTCTTCTTCATCTTCCCTGAGTCTTTGCGCCATCGGTAGACCAGGTGGTGACTGGGGCTCAGGACCCCGGACAGCAGCCCCATAAAGTGGGTTTTTAAAAAGTAGATTCAGGTTAATGTCAGGGTTTCAAGTAACACCCCAATAGAATCAAAACTCCAAGGCAGGCATTTTCCTCAAAGCTGAAATTTATTAGAGATGTCATATTGGCACATCTGGGAAACCCCAAATCTGAAAGCCCCCCCCCAGATTTTCCCCACCCAAAGTAAAGTTAAAGTTCCTTACTCTGCATTCCCTGCATCCACATGGGCATCACATGGTCCAATCAGGTCACTGTCCCAACTGTGGTTATCTCCCAGTCATGCCTCCCCAGGTGCAGGCTGAACATCCTTGACTCTCAAGGGGAAAATGTTGTTATGGCTATACATCCCACACTGTCTCCATCTACCCCTCTCCCATTCCCACAGCTTGTCCATCTACTGCTTGTGGCAGCCCTGAAGATCCAAATTTAAAGATGGCCTCCAGGATTGATATCTGGTATCCTAGTGGCAGGAATGGGATTGCCCTCCAAGCCTCATAACAAATGGGTTGTCTTAATCTGAATACAAGTTTTTGGCAGTAGAGACATTCTAAAGCTTTGCCTATAACTGGTTTATTGAATCAACAATTGTTTTATATTAGCAATTGAGTGATAAGGAGCATTGTTCAAGTATACCATACTTTTTAAATTAGATTATGTATGGCTAAACAATAGTGAAGTACAGTTTTAAATTTTATAAATCCTACTTGCTTATCTTCTTGCACTCTTTCATAGAAATGATTGTGGTTAAGTCCCTGACCTGTAGATAACATGATTATTATAGTCTAAAGCAAGTGGCAACACTGAAGCCTCCAAGATGGCCTCAGTCAGGCCAGTTTCAGAATATGCTGTGGGTGTATTACTTGGAACTCTGATAGCAGGGATGTCAAACTTAATTTCATTGAGAGCTGGATCAGTATTATGGTCACCTACAAAGGGTCAGGTGGGCATGCCTAGGTGGTTACATGACTGGGTGGGCATGGCCAACTCAACATCACTCACATCAGGGGACATATGTGATGGGCCAGACAAGGCTGGGAATGGTGATCCAGTGTGAGCGCAAAGCCTGATGGGGGCAAAAGAGCATCAGCGCTTGAGCACAGCTGGGGAGGGTGCCTGGGGCATGGTAGAGGCACAGCTGAACTGCACTTTCAGTTTTAGGCTGGAGTCCAGGCACAGAGGCAAGAGAGAGATCAAAATGTGAAGCCCTGCACGCTGCTGCCTGCCCATTGCCCATGGCAGCTTTCTATTTTCACCCCCACTCCCCATTGCAGTTCATGCAGTACTGTTCAACACACACGTCCAGGCACCATCTTCAGCCGCACAAGACAAGATTATGGGGCAGTGAAATCCCTTCCTTAAAGCCTCCCATCGTTGCAAACATCATTCCAGTTTCAGCACAGAGACCATTTACATACAAGCCGAAGGGAGGTTTCAAGCAAGGGATTTCAATGCCCCATAATCTTGTCCGCTTGCAAATGTTTTCATGCCAAGATTGGGACAGCACGAAAAGTGTTTGCAAGCCAATGAGACTTTGGGGCAGTGAAATCATTTGTTTCAAGCCTCCCATTGGCTTGCAAATGCCTTTTGTACTATCCCAATCTCAGTGTGAAAAGCATTTGCAAGCAGATGAGACTTTGGGGCAGTGAAATCTTGCTTGAAACCTCCCATCAGCTTGTAAACGCTCTTTGTGCCCAGACTGGGACAGTGCAAAAGGCATTTTCAAGATGATGGGAGGCTTCAAGCAAGGGATGAGGCAGTTCCATTCGGTTTTAGGTTGGGATACAGGTGGAGCATCAATAGCAATGGGAAGAGGTTAAAATGGGAAGCCCTCATCCACTGCTGCCTGTGCATTGCCTGCCGCGGCTTCGTATTTTCACTCTCCCTCTCCAAGGCAGTTCATGCAGTTCAGCTGCCCCTCCCATCATGCTCCAGCACCGTTTGACACACCCCCAGGCACCCTCCCCAGCTGTGTGCAAGCCCCTCCAGGCATCAGAAACAGCCATGTGCAAGCATTCTTTGCCTGCCACCTTCCCAGGCACATTACTAGTCCTGCATCCCCAAAGGGGTGCCAGGCCATGCTTACCTCCTCCTCGAGGCTTCTGCTGCCATCGCTGCCCCCCAAGATGAAGCGAGGCAAGACAAGGCAAGGCCAGATGAGGAGAGTCAAGGCCGGGCATGACAAGGCATGGCTGGGAGGGCAAGGCATGATGAGGTGAACGAGCTGCACGTGCCCAGAGGGAGCATCCAACTGGGCCAGGCCAAGGCAGCAGGGGCCAATCCCTCGCTGTTTCCAGGCCAGCCTTGTGGCCCAGATCTAACTTCTTTGTGGGCTGGATTTGGCCCAGGGGCCTTGAGTTTGACATCCATGGTCTAAAGCAATCATAATACAATAATCAATATTGTATTATAATTGGTTTAGTCTATAATATAGGCAAGGCACAGCCTTATTTATTCAAGAAAACAAGAAAGTAAAAAAGATTCTTGCCATAAGAAATCAGCCTTTAGAAGCAATCTGGATATATTGAAATATGGGAGCCTTTATTTTCATGCTAGTAATACCAGTGCATTTAGTTACAATTCAATACTTTGCAATCCTTTTTCTTATATATAAAAACGCTACAAATGGTTATCATTTACAAATGATGTTTCTTCATTCTATCTTTAAATGATTTAAATATACGTAGTTTGTTAAATATGATTCCTATCCATTTTTTAAACATTATAATAATAGGTTTTAATTTTTATCTTTGTACTAGTGATTTATGTCTAGTTCACATACTAGTTAAGACTAGTAGACTTTACTAATATTCTTTACTTTGTCAAACTTTTAATAAGTTCCACAAAAGTGCTTGTGCCTAAGACCTAATTTCCATACAATTCATGAATATGAAGTTTTATGAGTATGCAGTATGTCTGCTTGCATTAGCAATTTCTGTTCATAAGGTCACCTAATCGGGCAAACAAGTCCATGAACCTGTCATGAACTGTATTTTGTCATTGTTTGGTTAATTTTTAATTAGTTTTTTTTATAACATATAGTCATTTTATGGAATTATTACTTACAATTATATTCAGATCCGAGGAACTAAACATAAGTCATAGTAATAATAAGTAATGCTATTGATGGTAGTTTTGTAGGGACAATATAGTCTTTTATTTGCTTTTTTCTTTCCTATTCTTTCACAAATAAATTTATGATTAGTGGTGTGTTGATATGGATAAGAATGTAGATACTTACCTAATAAGTGTCTCACATTCAATTTTCATCAAGACACACCATCCCAGAGAGTGCAGTTTATCCTTGGTACAGAGGATGATGATGAAGAACACATTCCACACGATCTTTTTACTGAAATGGATGAGCTTTGTTTTAGAGAAGGAGAAGAATATGAATGGAAAGAAACTGCCAGGTAACTTGGAAGATAATTCCTTTTGCTTCTCATTCATTATGATAAATTAAGAAAAATGGCATGCATTTGAATATTTGAAGGCTATTAAGTAACTGGAGCTTCAAAACCCTTAAGCATATTTCTTCTGGCTATAGATATTACTGCTTTGAGGTTTTTTTTCCTACGTTTTTGTAAAATCACTCTCATTTTGCAACATTGACTAAGTAAGCTAAAATGAAAATGGTATCCTACACTTGGTCCCATTGAAGTCTGGACTTTAATTCTGCATGGACAAATATTAATCTCTAAGTCTCTTTAAAAACAAGTTACTAAATTATATAGGATACTTGGAAAAGTATAGATCAAATACAGATTTCAGAAACTGAGACAATTGAAGATATCAATGTAAACTGTGAACATGATGTTTGTAGTTAAAAAAACTAAGAGTTTTCTTACTATATATGTTCATTATACTTATATATATTGCAGATGGCTAAAATTTGAAGAAGATGTTGAAGATGGTGGTGAGCGGTGGAGCAAACCTTATGTGGCTACTCTGTCTCTTCATAGTCTGTTTGAATTGAGAAGTTGCATTTTAAACGGAACGGTCATGTTAGATATGAGAGCCAATTCACTGGATGAAATAGCAGGTCACATACATTTTACTTGATTTTATTTTAATGATTTTATGTTTTGGAAAGTAATTAAAATTTATTTGTATCTTATGTTTGCAAAAAACTTAAAGGAATTCTGTGCTCTATTTTTTTTTTGATAATATTGCAATGGTATTTCAAAATCCTGTTGGTTGCAGCCCAGCAGGATATAAATTAATCAGACATTTGTATTTCACCATCTTTTTCATGACTTTAAAGACAGCTTTTTTCACTGGAAGCAGTGACAAGGGTATTATTTAATTATGCTTGGTTTATGATAGAAGTGTTCCTTTTTTCAAATAATAATTTTTTAACCTAGCATACTCTCATTCGTCTAGTGACTTTCAAGGTCCATTATGAATTGTAATAGACCATCACCAAGCTAATATTTTTTGGTTTATACCAAATATTATGATCCAAGGTAGCTTTCCTGGATGAAATTCTTGAAGTAGTTTAACTATTGCTGAAAATTCTGGGAACTGAACTCTAAATAGCTGAGGCTAGAAAAAGCTTTTCTAGATTAGGAATGAAGTTGCTGATTATTTTTTTCTGTGAATAGCTGCTAAATAAGGAAAATAACTTTTGGCAAGCAGCCACCAGTGGGTAGTTGTTGCATTGTTAAATTATGTAGGATTGTTTTCTTTATTCTCCCCCTCCACACACACACACACACACACACACACACACACACACTTCTTGCAAATACCAAAAGACAATAAATATACTAAGGAAAATCTATGTCTACAAAATCCCAGCAACTGGATAATACAGAAAATCATAAGTGTACTCCATTTTTGGTATGATTTAGTCCTCAACATTTTAATACCATCTTATTAAACATTTCCTACATATCAAAGGCCTGAAGATGTTTCTCAGTTATATCAATCTTTCATATTTATTTTACATTTCATTTTTTCCTTTGTAGACATGGTATTGGATAACATGATAGCTTCTGGCCACCTTGATGAATCAATGAGAGAAAATGTCAGAGAAGCCCTTCTGAAAAGACATCATCATCAGAATGAAAAAAAGTTTAGTAATCGGATTCCTCTCGTCCGATCCTTTGCAGATATAGGCAAGAAACATTCTGACCCTCTCTTGCTTGAAAGAAATGGTGAGATAAGTTGTGGCATCCAGTTGCTTTATGGTTTAATAATATAATGCAGAGATGTGAGAAAAGTCAGCAAATGCAAAAAAAATAAGATCAGAATTATTTCCCAGCAAATATTAATTATAGTTGTGCAGAAAATAAAATTATATTTGTACCTTATTGAACTTAAAAGGTTAAGGGCAATTATTGAATCATAGTTTTGTCTTTCTAGTACCCCAAAGCATGATATATGTAAAAGAAAAAGCTGTGGCTATTTTGTTACATATGTGGTATCTATTTCTCATTGTTTTCTGCATCTTCCTGTCATCTTTTTCAGTTAAATCAGTTTTTATTGTTAATGACAGTCTTGAAGATAGCTTTTCTTTAATACTAATTAAACAGTCAAATTTGGAAGAAAAAAGTGTTTTTTGCCTAAAGAGATATCCTGATTTTGCAATTGTGAATATTATATATGTCAGATATATTATTTATTATAGAAATATAATATTATAGGATATACAGGTTGTGTGCTCTTTATTCATTGATTCCTCCTCCCTGTCACATTTGGAGTAGTTTCTGATATTCTGGGAGTCTGACATGCTTTCAGGTAATTTCATTTTAATTGTGTTAATTTTTCATTCTGATTGCTGCAACTTTGTTGGCTTTTGAAGAATTTACTTTTCTTAGGTTACTTAATTTGGTGTAAACTGTCTGAAGATCTAAATTCCTAACCAGAAATTGAATTGCATTCCAGTGAATTGTTCATTATACTTAGAAATGAATGCAGGTTTTAAAAAGATGTTCATCTAAGTATTTATCCTATATTCTATTCTGGGGTTACATATGTCTGGAACTGTCATATGTATTTTTATAGTTGTGGTAAGGATACTGGTTATCAATTTGTTACTCATTTGTATAGACATGCATGTTTTTGTTCAGTACATATTTTCTAAAATTTGCATTAAGAAAGGATCTTAATATTTTATTGCATATTCAAAATAAATCGTTTTCTATTATAAGCATAGCATTCTGGGCTGTAAAAACCATTAGCATTCAGTGATTTGGAGGAGGATTAATTCCATTCATAAATCAACCCTGTGAATGGTTTATAGTGTTTATATTTTCTTCAAAACTGTTGAGCTGAAGTAATCACAATTTATATATGTGTGTGTCTGTCTGTCTGTCTGTCTGATTGACTTTTAAATGTTCATTATGTGTAAATATATTGTATGCTGACTTTTTTAACATCTAAAATTCTGCTTAGCACTCAATATTTTGCTTATCTCACCTATGAAATTAAGCCTTTAAAATCTTTTATAGTATCAGATGATATGATATTATGTTTCTACTGAATATTTTCCTCACTTTATTTGTTTTATCTCAGGGGAAGGCCTTTCAGCCTCCCGCCATTCTTTACGAGCAGGTCTTTCTGCCTCAAATATTTCCCTGAGAGGAGAGAATCGTTTGTCCCTTCTTCTCAATTACCTTCTTCCTGGATCTCCAACAACCTCAAGGAGTACAACCCCTTTACCTACCCCACAAAGCACTCCACCTTCCAGTCCTAGGTGTGATTCTAAGGGAACTACAAATTTCCAGCCAATCGTGCATCAGGTGTCTCCTTCTAATGATGATATCCCTAAAGTAGTAATTCATCCACCTGAGGAAGATTTAGAAGCTCAGGAAGGCAAGAAGAGGACAGAGGAAAATAGTGACATAACACCAGGCAACTATTTGAACTCAAATTATCCATGTGTGGTGCTTTCTGCAGCTGAATCACTCCCACTGCAAAAATTTTAATCACACAGCTTTAGCACCCATAAATTGTACATCAGTCTGCTACTTGTTTGCATGCCTCATTATTTTTGCGTGATACTTTTTTGGAGACCTTTATTTGGTATTTTGAAATAGATAAAAGATTTTATCCTTAATATTAACATAAATATTAATACATTGAAAGCAATTACATGTGTGAACATTTCTCCATACTTTTTTGTTTCTTAACAAAATGAATTCATTCAGCAATTGCTCCTGCTTTAAAAGATAAAAAAGGTGTTTCTGTGTGTGTTGGGGGGGGAGTTACACATTTGTAAACTAAAAATGGTGGCCTTTTCCTCATTTTCAAAACTCCTAATTCCCATAGGGAAAGTAAGAAATGAAGAACCCAAATATCATTATCTATGTTGTGAAATTTCTACCTAATTTCAATATTATGGTAGTACAATAGTAATTATTAATGCTACTTTTGGCATTACATGAGACTCTGAATGATAATACAGAATATTTTATACTATGTGATACAAAAGTTAAAGGGATATTTAAATAGAAAGAGAACCCTGCAAGCCTACTTAGGCTCTAAAAATAAATTATATGATGAGCCAACTCTTGTGGTATAAATATGGTACGGACAATTCTTGCGTGATGCTTCTTTCTTGGATTTCCTGTACTTTTCATGCATAGATATTTTTGTTAGCACCACAGAATAATACTCTCTCTAAAGTATGACTATCTAACCATAATCATTGATTCAGTTTCAAGTTACCATTTTCTTCATTTGCTTAGTTATAAAACAATCTATTCTTTAGCTAAAGAAGCCTTCAGAATAGCTTTGAAAGTTGAACACTGTCCTTGTTATCATGATTATAATTAGGCTATAAAAATCATGTAGGTATAATGAAGTAATATATGTTGCTTAAAATTGCTAAAGAACAGGAAACCATTTGTATATCTTTTGAGCAGAAGTTTAGGGTATGCTTTTTCATAATAATTACATTGCAATTGTATTTCAACCAGAAATAGATTTCCACATAACTATAATCAGTTTTCTCTTTAATTGATACTGAAATATTTTTCCAATCTTTAAACATCACACATATGCATGCACACATATTGACTTAAGACCAGTTGCTTGGCAGTTGAAATTATAATGGACCTCCCTAGGGTTATTGGAAAAGATAACCTGAAAAAGATAATAAAAAAATAGATCTGCAAATATCTAGAAACAAGTAAAGTAATAACTAGAGGTCAGCACAGGTTTGTTAAAAATAGATCATGCCAAACCAATCTTATTTCATTTTTTGACATAGTGACTAAATTAGTAGACCAGCGAAATGCTGTGGACATAGTATACTTAGACTTCAGTAAGGCATTTGACAAGATAGATCACAACTTACTTTGTAAGCTAGAAAAAAGTGGGATAGATAATATCACATGGATTTGTACTGGCTAACAAACCATACTCAACAAGTAGCCCTTAACAGTACTATGTCTACATGGAGGCAAGTAAGCAGTGGGGTAAGCAAGGTTCTGTCTTAGGCCCAGTACTCTTCAGTATCTTCATAAATGATTTAGATGAGGGAATAGAAGGGGAACTTATCAAATTTACAGATGATACTAAGCTGGCAAGAATAGCCAACATTCTAGATGTTAGGCTTCAGATCCAGATGGATCTTGACAGACTTAAACACTGGGCCCTAACCAGTGATGGGAAGCTGCTGGTTTGGATCGGTTCAAGTGAATTGGTAGTTCCAACGATCAGCTGACCCTGCCCACCCACTCCTGCCCTATCCTGTTCTTTATTTCTGCTTTGTAACTCATCTCAATTGTGCAGAACACAATTGATTCTGATTCCCCCCCCTCACTGTTCTACATACCATTGGTGATTTGGAAGGTAAGCAGCTAAGCTTCTAAATGCTCCATTTTCAGTGATGCATTCAAGCGCATGCAAAGCGTATGCTCACTGAACTGGTTGTTAAACTGGCAGCATCCCATCACTGGCACTAATGAATAAAAAATTCAGTGTAAAGAAAAGTAAAGTCTTTAGAATTAGGCAAGAAAAACCAAAAGTACACATATAGATTGGGAGAAACCAATCTTAATAGCAATAACTGAGAAGGAAGTTGGAGTGTTAGCGGCCAATCAATTAAATATATGAGCCAATAGTGTGCAGCAACTGCCAAAAAAGCCAATGCAATCCTAAGTTGCATTAACAGAAGGATTCAATCAATATCATGTTAGGTACTAATTCCTCCCTATAAAGCCTTAGTAAGACCATACCTAGAATACTACATCCAGTTTTGGTCACCATACTTTCTAGAGTTAAGACTCTAGAAAGAGTGCAGAGAAGAGCAACAAAGATGATTGAGGATTGGAGGCTAAAACATGAACATTTACAGGAACTGGGCATGGCTAGTGTAGTGACCAGAAGGATCGGGGAGTGTTTCAATATTTGAGGGGCTGTCACAGAACAGAATGGGTTAACCTATTTTCCAAAGCACCTGAAGGTCAGACAGGAATAATGGATATGGAAACTGATCATATTTCTACTGAATATTTTTCTCAGTTTATTTGCTTTATATCAGGGGAAGGTCTTTCAGCTTCCCACCATTCTTTATGAGCAGGTCTCTCTGCCTCAAATGCCTCTGCCTCCTACCAATGTAGCAGTTTGAAAGCATGAAAATGCAAGTAGATATATAGGCACCATTTTGGTGGTAAGGTAATAGCATCCCGTGCGCCTTGGCATATAGTCATGGTGGTTACATGAGCATAAACTGCCTTTGGACAACGCTGGCTTCCTAATCTGAAATAGAGATGAGCACCACCCCCTAGAGTCGGACATGACTGGACACGGGAAACCTTTACCTTTATATGATGTTTGCAGAGATGCTTTGGCATTTGTCTGTTTACACTAGGATATTGTTTGCTGCATGACAAGTACTAGTTAGATAATGGTGAAACCTGCCAAGCCCACATATCAGGAATTTGTAGGGAGACTTTATTACCAATTGTATCTCTCTTTCACATTTCCTATGATGCACTTTATAAAGTGTGATTTAAGATTTGTATATGTACTTTTAATTTGATTGTGGACCTGCTATTTATTTGCTAATAGATCCTCAAATATATTAAGATGACAAGGAAACCTTTTTTTCTTTTTATCTTGAATGAGTTCTATCATTTGAGACATTTAACTTTTCACATTCATTTGGGCTTTGAGGTTTCTAGTAACTTACAGAAAAGTACGTCCATTGCTGATACTGATTTTTTTGGGAGGGATAGGGTTTTTTCAGTAAATGATACTGAAATATTGCCAATGCAGATAGTTCTTCGTTTATAATGATTTGTTTACTGAATGTTCAAAGTTATAACAACACTGTAAAAAGTGACATGACCATTTTTCACATTTACAACCATTGTAGCACTCCTCTTTGTCATATGATCAAAATTCAGACAGCTGACAGCTGACATGTATTTATGATAGTTGCAGTGTACCAGGGTTATGTGATCACTTTTTGAGATCTTCTGACAAGCAAAGCCAATGGAGAAACAGGATTCTCTTAACAACTGTGTTACTAACTGTAGTGATTCACTTAACAACTGTGGCAAGAAAGAGCATAAAATGGGGCAAAACTCATTTAACAACTATCTTTCTTAGCCACAGAAATTTTGGATTCAATTGTGGTCGTAAGTCAAGGACTATCTGTTCAACACAAAAGTCAAGATTCCATTTCTATGTGGCTAATGTAGATGAAATGCAGCATTGCAAATAATTCCTTATAAAATAATATAGATTAAAATTCCAGACTTTGGGAATGCAATGAATGATACTTCTACAATTTTACAACATGCTGAATTTATGCAAAATGATCTAATATTAATTCCAACTTATAAATTCAAATTATTTTTGTTCTACTACATTCTCTCTCTCTCTTATCACTACCAAACATACATAAAATTTTATAATATTATCTTATGTATGCTTTGACTTAAAACAATTTTTTTTAAAAAATCAGCACATCCTTTATTTATGACGCGGTTATTTTGCTTCTGGTATTTACAATTTGCAATTTTTTTAAAAAAATCTGCATTTTGTTTATTTTGTGATTAAAAATTATGACCCTGATTTTTCTGAGCATTTTTTGCTCAAAATATTCTATAAATCTTTGGCATTGTTTCTCTTTCTTTCTCTCCCTCTGTTTTTGTTTCTCTCCCCCTCCCTCCATGTGGATCTTGTGTTGATTGAGCACTCTAGTAGCATATGCATCAATGCTTTGCTGACCTTACTGATCTTAAAGTTGATTTCTTTGTCTAAATATTCATCAGTCAAGATGATGTTCCTAAGTATTTGAAGTTGTTTATATTTGTCAGCTGGATGTCATCAACAGTGATTTTTAGTTCTATTGTTTTGGTTTTTGGCATGGGCTGGTAAAGTATTTCAATTCTTCAGTTCAGGTTTATAGTCAGGCCAAAGAGCATAGCAGCTTCAGAGAATTTGTTCAACCTCAACTGTAGATTGTGGTCTCTGAGTGCCAACTAATAATAATATATTTACTATAATAATAATAATAATAATTTCACTGCATTCTTTTTAGGTGACTCTGAAATGACCGAATCATTTAAAACCAGTACAAAAAATAGGAAAACTACAAACTATCTGTTAGAAACTGAACCACAAAAGGAAATTTATATGTGTTTAAGGAAGAACTTCAGTGACCTATTACAGATAGTTTTCAACTTACAATAGTTCATTTAGTGACTGTTCAAAGTTACAACAGCAGTCACTTATGACTGCTACAACTTCATCACAGTTACAATCTTTGCAGCATCCCCATGATCATATGATCAAAATTAAGATGCTTGGCAATGGTTCATATTTATGACTGTTGCTATGCCCCAAGGTCATGTGATCACCTTTTCTGATCTTTGCAAAGTCAATGGAGAACACAGGTTCTTACAATCGGGATACTAACTTATCAGCTGCAGTGATTCACTTAACAACTGAGGCAAGAAAGGTCTAAAATGGGATAAAACTCGCTTAACAAACATCTCACTTAACAACAGAAATTTTGGGCTCAATTGTGGTTGTAAGTCAAGAACCACCTATACTAGAAAACTAGTCTCTTGCTTTCCTTAAGAGCGTTAATTGTACTAGTAAGAAATATATCTTTTAATATCCTGCCTTTGATAGATATATATCCTTGTTATATTAACAAACAACTATTAACTACAAATGTGTTTGAATACGGCAGAAAATAGTGTCATTCTAATAGTGTATCAACTATTAAATTATTGGCCTTAGTCAAACTTCTAGTCCCGTACAAGGTGAAGTTTATTTTAGTAATCTGAGTGTGATGGAATTAAAATGTTTATGAGCCTTGATAAATTATTTTCCAGATCAGTTGCTATTTATTTACTTGTTAGATAATATCTCATATTTCCTTTAAGAGGTCAAGGCAGCATTACAAGGGTATTAGAGAATTTCAGAAGATTCTGTTCTATCTCTGCTGTAATTCATTTACAGTATCAAGAATGATCAAGGTTATTAGCTCTAAAATCAAGTCAGAAACACACTGAAGTAGATAGCTGAGAATGTTTATATTTATTGAATATTTTTAAAAGGTATATACTATGGTAGTACTTGATTTTTTTTCTTCCTGGACACATGAGCATTCTCTGAGCTATTGACACTGGTACAGACATCCAACTTTGGGGGTCTTCTGGATCTATTCAGGCAGAACAAGTAATCTTGACAATAGGAGCTAAATTAAAGTGCAGTCTAACAGCTTTATTCATAGGAGATCACATAAATTCATTTACTTTTTTAGGAGGTCATGATATAACAAAGTTTTAGAATTCCTAATATATACAGTTCATCCCCTCAAAATTACATATGTTCATATTACATATTGGCCCCTGCTAGGTTTGCGTCTCCTTGGCGTGTTTTGTTTTTTATCATGAGCCTTTAGATATTACTATATTTCTATATTTCTTATATCTAACATTGGCCACACTGGCCACAGCCGCTGGGCACTGTAGCTAAGTAATATGTGGAAAAGTACAGATTTCCTACACCTATTTTAAATGATAAAAGGTTTGTCATGTTTCTCATTCTAATGTGTAAAACAATAATATCATGAATCTGTTACACAAAAACGATATATTGAATATAATGAATAATTTTCCTCTTGAAAATTAACCTATAGTTTACATTCCTAAAGATGTCCAAGAACTAATATTTGGCTAGAATGGCAGGGTCCAGAGGAGAGAAACATTTTTGGTCCTCTGCAACACTCTGCTTCCAGAATAATGTATCTATCTATTATTTTCCTATTTTGGCAATGAAAGCCAGCTGGGTGACCTTGGGCAGTCACTCTCTCTAAGCCCAGCTCACCTTACAGGGTTGCTGTGGGAAAATAGGAAGAGGAAGATATGTTGTATATGTTCTCTGCCTTGAGTTATTTATAAAAATAATAAAGGCAGGATACAAATAAGTAAAACTAAAATAAAAAATAAGCAACCATTTAAAATGGCATTTTATGTATCGCTTATCTTCATAAGAATAAATTTCATACACACACAGACACACACACATACACACACACACACACACACACATATATACACATACATACACAAATAGACACACATATACATAATACACGTATGTATGTATGAAATTTATATGGCCACCACTCAACTTTCCATGACTCTAGGTGGCTTACAAATCATACAATTCTAAAATATAGAGTAAAACAATAACTTCCACCCCTAATTCAAATTTAGGAATCTTTACTTAGAGATTAATGAATTATGTGGATCATGGCTCAGATCCTACTTTAAAAAGTTTTCTTGCTTTAGGGCTGCAGTAATGGATGATTGCTAACCTACTGGTTCACTGTGATATAGGATTTATTTAAGCAATCTAAAGTACATTTTGCTTTATTTCGTGATTGTTCCAGGGAATTCCAGTAAAATCATGACATTCTTGTAATTGCATGATCCACATTGTTGGTTAGATGCACATTTTAAAATAGTACCTTTTTGGTGAATTTTGCAAAAGGCCATCATTTAGGTAATAGCTAATTTTAACACTTAATAAGCTTTCATTGTTTTCCAGAAAAAAATAACTTGTTTGGCAATTTTGGTACTAATGCACTTTTTGTTTATTAACTTTCACATTTGCTTTTTTAGAAAGCTGTCACTATTGTTATATAAGCATGCCTATTTCTAGGCAACGTTATTTTAAATTTGTTTCTTTATTCTAATTGTAGGGCTTTTAGCATCACCACAATCTGCACCTGGTAATTTGGATATTGGAAAAAATGGAGAATTTAAAATTAGTGGAACAGGAGGGAGTAGAGAAAATAGTACGGTTGACTTCAGCAAGGTAAAGTTTTTAAGCTTTTAGAGAACACATAACATTGTGCATTTTATGGAAGCTTACTTTTCTCTTCAAAATATAGTTGTTTGCATTTGTATTGTATTATATCTCTAAAATAAAGTTCTAGAATAAATTAGTAGCAACTACAGATATATTTTAGTAATTACCTGAAAATAGAGACTGTTAGAGACACTTTGGTATAGTGCTTAAAAGAAAAATCAGGGAATTAAGTTCTAGTTCCACTTTAAGTAAGAAGCCACCTGTTGAGTGACTTTGTGGGTAATTACCTCAAAACATTTCTGAAAATATTGCTAAGAAAACTTCAAGAGTTTGTCCAGCTAAATCACCAATGTTCAAGATTGACATTTGTACATACATACAAAGGCTGTGCCACTTGTTATGTTATCACATGTGATAAATTCTACATAATTACTTAAACGTGTCATTTTATTTTACACATTGTAAGCTGAGAGTCTACTGAGTATATGTGAAAGAGGAAAGAGGATGGAGAGGAAGGTGGAGTCACAGTTAAGCTGGTGAGCGGGAGATTCCAGACTGATGTAGTTGACTTACTAGAATGGGACAGTAGGAATATATAGAGAAGAATCTACTTCTATGATAACTAGATATGAAGCAGTGTCTAACATTCCTCTTCAAAGAGAATAGCGGAATGAAAAAAATGTTAAAGATCTGAAGTCTGATCAGGTAAAAATTCTGAATTAGCATTCAGTATACTCTGAGCAATCTACCCTCAATCATGGAAGCTCAGTGGGTGATTTTTGATCAGTTATACTCTTTCAACCCAACCTATCTCTCAAAGTTGTTTGGGAGAAAATAATGGAAGGAGTGCTAGTATATTGTCTTGAGATCTTAAAGTGGAGGCTGAATATATCACAAATAAATTGATAAAATGGTTATGTGGCACTTCATAAAAACTCTAATCTAAAATTCCATATTGTAAAAGGTTTTAAATGTCTTTCAATATAATTTGCTATTTTAATAGTATTTCATTTATTGTTGTTATTGTTCAGTAGCCATAATAGTTAAAGGCAATGTGAAAGCACAAGTCATCTTGCAGAATTGAGGTTTACTATCTTTTCTTTTATGTTGCATATTCCTTTTTTTCTGATTATTATGTGAGGGGCATAATTAGGGTGGGCAACAAATGCAAATAGAGATATTGTAGATTTGCATGAATTTTGTGCTATTGTTGTTGTTATTGATTAAATATGTATGCCACTAAATCATCCAAATTCATGATCACTTACCACAACATTAATTATGATAAATGATAAGAATAGATCACAACCCCACCTAATTTGCAGATTGTTAATTGAAACTATTCCTATCAGATTTTTTAAGGTTTCCAGGTTAAAACACTTTTCAAATACTTTTTTCAAATATTCAGTAGTACTGTTAATAATTAGTGTTAGTAAAGTTGTTTTCTATTTTAAAGATTCACTATGTATGTATGTATGTATGTATGTATGTATGTATTTATTTATTTATTTATTTATTTATTTATTTACTAGAGCAATACATTTATGACTGGTCCAGTCATATTCTGATGCATAATAAAATTGGTATTATATAGACAGTATTCAAATTATGTCTGTAATAGTGTCTGCCCATTAAAGTTGTAAAACGTTGCAGTCATCAAACGAGACACCAGTGTGATCACCAATAATCACTAACCTCATATATGGCTCCTAAACAATAACATAGGTAGGTTGAGCAGAATGAGAGAGTTGCTTGCTGAAAAAGAGTAGGCAACTGCTCTACTCCTTAGTACGAGCTCTACAAAATTAGAAGGTCTTTTTCTCCTGCCTAAAACAGGACAGAAAGGAGGTGTACTGTGCAGAAAATTAAAGCTGGCCCAGCTTCATTTCTCCTTGCAGCATGTTGCTGCCCTGCTAGAGAAAAAAGAGAGAAAGAAAGCAGCTTGTGACCTAACCTTGTCAGCTTCCCTGTTGATTTTCAAATGGTGATTACATGATTGCGGAGGGCTTGGTAATCAATTGTAAATGTGAATGGGTTGCCAAGAGCCCAGATCACAATTACATGGGTATGGGGGAGCAGCAACATCCATAACTTAGCACTGGTTGTATGTCCATTCAGTGCCATTGTTGTCAAACAGTTGCTGAATGAATTTTTGTAAGTCAAAAACTACCTGCATATGCTTCTGTAATACTAAGATCACTGACTTTTATGTTCAGTGCATTGTAAGATTTATAGAAGAGTTATCATGTTATTGAAACTCTGCTGTAGCATAGACACAGCCCATTTTAGATGTATATACAGAATCCTAAATGGAGTACCTCAGCTAACATTGTGACTTCCAGGTATAGTATGAATAAAGTGCATTTAGAATTGTAAGTGGAGTAGAACCTTAGAGTTTAAATGAATAGACTTGTACAAGGCCCAAGTACATAGTTAAAATCTTTTTATTGAATAATCTACACAAAATTGCTTCCTTTAATGCAGGGGTTATTACCCCTGGGCCACGTACCAGTACTGGTCTGTGGCCTGTTAGAAACTGGGCTGCACAGCTGGAGGTGAGTAGCAGGCGAGTAAGCAAAACTGAAAAAAAAAACCTTGTTCATGGAAAAATTGTCATGAAACTGGTCCCTGGTGCCAAAAAGGTTGGGGACCACCACTTTATTGTAAAGAATGCTAACTTGTAATGAAGTCATTATTTGTATAATTTATAATATAGTATTTCTCCTTTCAATGTTTTGGTTCCAAAATCTAATTCAGGAAAATGATGTAATTTTGCTTAAAAGCTCTCTTAACAAAACAAATTTATATAATAGTTTAACAATGGCAAATGCCATTATTCTAGCTCCTCTGTCACAGCTTTTATATTTTTACTTGGCCTGTTCTTCTCTGCACCTGCCTTGTCTTCTCCTGGCCAGGATTCTGCCTCCTGGCACTGTAGTTGTGGCACACTTGGTATGGGACTCAAGAGGCCAGCTGTAAGTGTTTTTTTCCCTAGATAGCTGTGTAACTGGTGTGTTAGTTTCAGTGATTTTTGTGTTTCTGTCTTTATGTGAACCAATAGTTTGTAAATGCTATATACTATGTTGGTGAATGTTTATATTTATATACACAGTTCCTATAGGTAATTTGAACAATATAAAGAATTAATTCTCCATAAATATTCCTTTTTAGATTGAATTTATAAAATGAAGCAATTGTGTATATAATTAAATTGATTTAGTGGAATTTGTGGTTGTTTAGTATAAAACCATGTTATTCCCAAGATACAATTTTAGTAAGTTTTTGTGATTGTATATTTTAACATAGTTATGAAGCACAGCATTTGTATATATGGTTATATTAAAATGTTATTAAACTTCATAATATATATCACACTTTAATAATGATGTATATGTTGCTTGTCATTTATTTATAAATGTCAGTTTCAAAATTCTTTAGAATATTTTAATATACTATTAATCATTCTTTGAAAATAGGTGGATATGAACTTTATGAGGAAGATTCCAATAGGTGCAGAGGCATCAAATGTGCTTGTTGGAGAAGTAGATTTTTTGGAGAGACCAATTATTGCTTTTGTGAGGCTGTCTCCAGCTGTGCTTCTCACTGGTCTCACAGAGGTTCCTGTTCCTACACGGTAAAAATAAAAATTAATGTAGTAAAACTTTAATTCTCTGTATTATTTTTAATCTATATTATGTGATTCAACCTTTTTTTTTTTAAAGGAAAAAGGAGAGGCTGCTGTCTCTTTGTTGTGAGTTTAACATGCTGGTTTAAAATCTTGTATGCAGATTTTATCTTATGTTGGTTTAAAATCTCTTTAACTTCATAGTTCATACTTACAATACTTGAGTTCTCTTTAGTGACAAGTAGTAGTAGTATTTCGTGTGGCATAACAGAATACAGTATAATGCGGAAATATTCACCAATACAACATATAAAATGTGTATCAAAATATAAACATCAGAACAGTGAACCATTTAAAAACACAAGTGATAAAGTGACTTCCGGGTGATGTTAAGATGAGATCGGATGTGAGGAATGTGTCTCCTCCCTCCCACGCTGAGCTCTCCTCATTGGAGGGCTCCAAAAGAACCTAAAGCCACCCTGTAGGGGTGGTGAAGAAAAGAGGGGCACCCTGTAGGTTGCAGAGAGCAGCAACTCTCCCACTTGTTCCAGGGCTTCTTCCCTCTCATCCACAACAAGGAGAAGAGCAGTCATCATGCTGTCAACAAGCTGGGACAGCTGAAGCAACAAAGAAAAGTGCAGGAGTGGTGTAAATCAACAGTGACTGGAACTGGGTGAGAAGATTCCTTTTTTATGTAGACCCTAACCTTAAAAGAAAAAAGAAGAAGAAAACCCAGGAAGAGAGACTCTTAGAATAATTTCTTAAAGCCATAGAGAGAAAAATCCTAGATCCGAAAGAAAGGAACTAAGGGGAGAAAAGCTAAAGACCTTTTAAAACATAGAAAATTGGATTTTTAATCTGGGTTTTGGAAAGACATTATAAAATGCTGGAACTATCTATTTGAATAGCCCATTGTGCTTCCATAAATTGAACTAAAATTGGATTAATCAATTTATCAGACTTGAAACAGACTTGAAACCTAAGCTGAGGGCACCATCTACTGGTGAATGGAAAATATACCATATTCCTAATAAGAGAAATAAATAACATTAATCTGGAGGACTGTGGTGATAACTACTGTTCTATAACTAACTACTTTATGATTACTGGAGACTCTATTGTGAGAATAAGGAAAGCTCTAAAGTAAAGTAAAGTAAAATAACTTGGGTTTTTTTGGAAGCTGCCTGGACTATGTAAATGGAACTTATTAATAATCTTGAGATGTAAAGAACTATGATTATTGAACCTTCTGAATCTTGGACTTGAATATATTGTTTTTGGATTATTGAGTAAGAATGGGACTTACTAAAATAAGACAAGATGTTCCATCAGGGGGAAATAAGTGAGATTACAAAAGAAATGGTGTTGATGTTTCAAAGCATGACAAAGAATCACAGAGAGAGAACGAACCTATTGCAAGGCATAAATGGGAAAATAGAAAATATCCTACAACTGATAATGAATGAAGTTCAAAGACTCCAGGAAAGAGAGGAGACAGCAGAGAAAATGGAGGAAAAGATACAACAGACAAATCAGCAAAAAAAAGCAAAAAGATGAGGAGAAGATGATAGAGATAATAATGACTGATTAAATAAACCAAGGGAAATGTACTTTAAGAGATTTAAAAATGGAATAAGCTGAAAGATACTTTTGAAAGGAAGGTAGGAGCTTGGGTGGACACTCTGGAGACCTGGCAGCCTAGGAGGATAGAGATGGGAGAAATATTTAGACTGAAAAGTGAAGACACAGATGCTGATAGAGACAAAAATCCAAGAGAGAAGTATGGGAGGCAAGCTAAAAAGCGAATAAGAACTGAAGTATTAAAACGAACAAGAGATGGTGGATAGAAAGGATTTTTTTTATTTTTTCTAATATAATGATGGCCTGATTAAAAACTAGAATAGAGGTAGAAATAAGAATACACACCTTTATATAAAGCAATAGGAAAGATTGGAGGTTGAAATATGGCAGGTATGTTTAAATAATATGGTACTAGAATGGCATATTGAGACTTTGAATAACCAAATAATGAAAAACTATGTCTTAATATAAATGTGTATTGACACTAGGATGGTGGTCTGAATGGAGGCTAGAAATAGAGATAGAAATAAGAAATAGGGGTAATATTAGCATATATAAATTTTTATATAATAGAATATAAGTAATAACTAGATGGAAAGATTGGGGGTCAGAAGATAGTATTACTATGTACGCTTAATAATATCATTGGCATCAAAATGAAACATTGAAATATTGAATAACTACTTTAAAATGAACATGTATATTAATACTAGGATTATATAAGTTTGATTAATGTAACAAATATTATTATTGCTACTTGTATAAAAATGAATTATACTCAGAGTCCACACTGTCCATGAATTGATATTGATGTATATTTAAAAATAAAAATCCACTTAAAAAACACTTAAAATTATGAATACAAATAAATTATGTATGAGCAATTACTGGGGTGGCTAATCTTATGGCCAGAATGCAACTTATAGAATTTCTAATTGTTGTTGTTATGTGTGCTATATTCAATAGTAAAATTTTTAGTTGTCATTGACAGATATTATTGAATTCATGCTATATTTGACTTTGCAATCCTTTTTCGTAATTCCACAGTTTCCTTTTTCTGTTGCTGGGACCAGCAGGTAAAGCACCTCAGTATCATGAAATTGGTCGATCAATAGCAACACTCATGACTGATGATGTGAGTACTGCCATTAATTACATACTCCCAAAATTATTTAAAATAGGCTGGAGTCAATATGCATTTCTATAATTAATTTAAATTTATAATGGTAAAGTATATCATGTTATGCACAAATATTTATAAGTACATACTTATAAGTGCATGTATATTATGCCTTTCCCTAGCAAGTGGAGAAATGAGGTGCTATCTGCAAGACTGTGTTTTGCCATTTCAGATACTTCTTTGTACTTCTTTTCTAACAACTTCTTTGTTAGTATTGGGAAGCGGCTAGGCATCCCTCATTTTTGGGATGTTAGACGAGTCAAAGTCCAGAAGTGTTGCTTCTCCATGATGAGACCAATCCTCTGGAATGGCTTCCTGCATGAAGTTGGATTACCTCTGATGTTATTCATCCTCTAGAAGCAACTGAAGATGAAGTTGTTTCAAATGATACTTCAAATGATGTTTGGTTTCATCTTGGATTATATGTGTTTTATGGTGGTGTTATTTTCTTTTCATTAACTAGATAGAGTCCATGTGATCACAGTGAGATATGAATTTGATCAATAAAAATAAATTTCCTTTGAATGAAACAATGATCCTGGTACTGCAACCATCATAAATATGAGTCAGTTGCTGAGCATCTGAATTTTGATCACATGATCATGGGGATGCTGCAGTGATCTTAAGTGTGATAACTGGTCATAAGCGGAGGTGGTTTCCAACCAATTCGCACTAGTTCAGGAGAACTGGTAGCGGTGATTTGGCGTGGGTCACCATATAGGTAGTAACTTCTGGCTGGCCAGGCCCTTTACCTGGTTGCCGGGTCACCGCTTGCTCACTTTCCCCACACACCTGATGCTCATGCTCACCCTACCCAGTCACTCCTCCCCTCTTATGTAGCACACTGGATCCTCGTGGCTTGCCTTTCTAACCTGCCTTCCCCATGTGGTGCCTGCGGCCCAACTGAGCAGCCCTGATCTGCCTGATCACAATAAGCCTGCAAATTGTGCTAGCCACTCCCCCACCACCCAGGGCCTTGCCAGGCCCCCCCCCCCCCCCCCCGGCCCTTCCGGGCCTCCCCCCACCGCCCAGGGCCTTTCCGGGCCTCCCCCCACCGCCCAGGGCCTTGCCGGGCCTCCCCCCACTGTCTGGGGCTTTGCTGGGCCTCCCCTTGCTGCCCAGGGTCTTCCCGGGCCTCCCCCTACTGCCCAGGGCCTTGCCAAGCCTCCCACCACCATCCAGGGCCTTGCCAGGCCTCCCCACCACTGTCCAGGACCTTGCTGGGCCTCCCAGGGCCTTGCTGGGCCATCCCCAGGCCTTGCCAGGCTTTCCCCACCTTGCATCCAGCCTGGGCCTCCTCCCACCTGGCTGCCGGCTTCTTAACATGACCAGAGGCTGCTGGTTGGAGTGAGGGGAACCGCAGTGCTGGAGTCCCGTCGCAGTGAGTGCCAAGGGCATAACTAGAATTGGAGGAAAAGGCTGCACATCTCTGGAGGAAAGAACTAGAGCTTTTTGACGTGAGAGCAGTTGCTGCCTTGCTGGCACCTTTTCATCCAAGCTGCCGGATGTTGCTCCGGTTCTCTCCACCACAGGTGCACAGCCTTTTATTCCAATTCTAGCTATGCCCTTGGCACTCGCCGCCGCTGGAGCTCAGCACTGTGGTTCCCCTCGATCCAACCAGCAGCCTCTGCTCACATCAAGAAGCCGGCAGCCAGGCAGGAGGAGGCCAAGGTTTCTGGGCCAGTCAGGCTGGTGGATGGGCAAGCAGGTGACCCTCAGAGTAATGTGGCAATGGCAGCAGCTGGAGCATGCCATGGCTGTTTGTTTTCTCTGCTGCACTGGGGCTGAGAGAGGTGACAGAGGTGCCCCAATAGCTGTGCCGCCGGCCCCCTCCCCCGCTGTGGTGCTCTGAAAGGGAGGGTGGATGTTCTAGGGCTGCTACTTTCTTTGTTCTCCCACCTCCTGGAGCTCGCCAGATCAGTTCTTCCAGACCAGCAGTGTGTGTGTGTGTGTGTGTCACGCGAGAGAGTTTGGTGTGTGTGTGTGTGAGAGAGAGATAGAGACAAGGAAGGAAGGCCAAGAAAGAAAGAGCGAGACAAAGAAAGAGGAAGAAAGAAAAAGAAATACGAAGGGAGAGAGAGTGTGGTGTGTGTGTGTGTGTGAGAGAGAGAGAGAGAGAGAGAAGAAAAGAAAGAGAAAGAAAGAAAGAAAGAAAGAAAGAAAGAAAGAAAGAAAGAAAGAAAGAAAGAAAGAGAAAGAAATAAAGAGAAAGAAATAAAGAGGAAAGAAAGAAAAATAGGAAGGAAGAAAGAGGAAGGGAGAGAAAGAAATAAAGAAAGAAAAAAAGAAATAGGAAGAAAGAGCATGAAAGAAAGAAAGGGAGAGAAAGAAAGAGGAAGGAAGAAAGAAAAAGAAATATGAAGGAAGGGAGAGAGTGTGTGTTGTGTGTGAATGAGAGACAAGAAAAGAAAGAGCAAGAAAGAAATGAAGGGAGAGAAATAAAGAGAAAGAAAAAGAAATAGGAAGAAAGAAAGAAAGAGCAAGAAAGGCAAGAGAGAATTCTGTGCTATTATTTTTAATTGTTCCATTATTTATCATATATTAATATTTTACACTGTCCTAGAGTGATTTTACTGCCTTTCTTTTGTCCAGGTATTTTTCAGTGTTTACTATAGTCCAGAGCATAAATACATGTGTGTTTAACAGTGTTGAAAGGGACTATGGAGGTCTTCTAGTCCAACCCCTTGCTCAGGCAGAAAAACTGAGGATGCCAAACTCTGAGTAGAGATCCTGGGAAAGATGTCAGAATAACAGAATAACACTTAGAAGAGACCTTGGGGTGAACCCTGTACCATTTCAGAGAATTGGCTGTCCAGTCTTTTCTTAAAAAACTTCCAGTGATTGAGCACCCAGAACTTCCGGAGGCAAGCAGGTCCACTGATTAATTGTTCTCACTATCAGGAAGTTTCTCCTTAGTTTCGGTTGCTTCTCTCTTTGTTCAGTTTCCATCCATTGCTTCTTGTTTGCATTCTGCTTCTTTGGAAAATACATTGCCCCACTCTTTCTGGCAGCTCCTAAAAAGCCTGTTGCCTATCACACTCTTGAGGAAAGCATGTGAGCCATTTCCTCCTTTCAGTGGTCCATGAAAGTACATCTATAGTATGCAGATAATAAAGTCAAAAAAGGTGAACAACATTTTTACAGAACTATAGATACATTGAGGCTGGGTGTGACAAGGAATGGCTGGGAGGGGAGGGGCCAGGCGAGGCACCCCTTGATGTGAGTGACATTGAGTTAGCTATGCCCACCCTGTCGCACACCCACCTAGTCACATGACCCAGCACATCCACCCAGTCACATGACCCTCAAGCCATGCCCACCCAGTCACATGACCATCAAGCCACACTCACCAAATAAGTGACATCCACAGAACTGGTAGTAAACTTTTTTGAATCCCACCACTGGTCATAAGTCACTTTTTTTCAGTGCAGATATAACTTCGAACAGTCACTAAATGAACTGTTGTAAGTTGTGGGCTACCTCTATGTAGTTAACCAATGCTGTTCTTCATATCTCTCCATAGCTTTGTCTTGATTAACTAACTTTGTTTCTATAACATCCATGAATTTCTTCATACGTTGTCCTTTTCTTTGTTTTTAGTTTTCCCTTTCATTTAACTAATTCATTGTTATTGTTTTGCTTTGCAATGTGTATAATTTGACTTTATGCCCAAATCACTTTGAAGTATTTTCTTCTAGTAATTTTCATATCCAGTGCATTGTTCCATATCCATTAATTCTTACCTTATCCCGCCTTGTTTATCACACACAGGTTTAAATGCCTTGTATATAAATGAGCAGAAGCATGCTATAATGAACAGTTATTTTCCTTTTTTTGACAAGTATTTATTCTTGCAAGATAACAAATTACTATCCATTACTTTTCTACTAGCAGATCTGAACAATTCTCCATCAGTTATCCTATTTTTAGTGAACTTTCTGCTAAGATACCCAAATCTATGTACTTGCTCCAGTTTTACCTTTATAACTTGCCTTTGTTTCTCCACTTTCCCAGTAAAATACAACAACTTTGGTCTTTAGATGGTAAATTAATCTATCATACTCATAGTATCATTTTTATTTATTATAAGTCATTTATTAAAAACCTTCCCAATACCTGAAGGTCTCTGGGTAATATAAAATAAAACACACAAAAATGTAAGCTGAATGTATATACCACTAAAATTCTTGTTCCTGTAACCTTTAAACTGGGTGAAACAGTTCGTCAGAGAGTAACAATTTTTGAACCAATGTACGTCAAATGGGCTAATTTACTTAACGTATCCAAATTGTGGAATCTGCAGCATGAAATCTATTGAAATTGAAATTTGACTAATTTTCTAAAACATTTTATGAAGTAAATGTTATTATAAAACAGTTTATGAAATAATACAAAATGTCATAAAATATTTACTGTGCTGACATTTGTCTGCACTGTGCAGTTCAATATGGATTATTTTTAAGGCAGATACATCTCTGAATGTATCCCATCACTTCCAGTGAAGGCAATACACCAGAGGTTGTCATTGTTGAAGACACTGAATTATGGTATGGTAAGAAAATATCCCCAAAAGGAGGGGTCTAACAGGTCAGAGGTTATCTAGTGGAATATATAGATAACTTCAAAAGAAATATAAAAATAGATATTGTATAAACTAGGAGTAGCACTAGTTTAATGAAACTAATAAAAAGTTACAATTATGTTAATTTTAAAGTTAACTATAATGTGTTAATTTTAAAGTTACTATAATGTTTCTATTTGTATCTAACCATTTTTATATTAAGCTTATATTAAATATTTTTATTATATTTAAGTAAGGTTAATTATTAAGTACCATTTGTACAATCTTTAAATAGTAATCTCTTTCATGGGATGAGATGGGTGTATCAGCAACAATAAAATATTGTCATTTAATTTGGCAGTGTCAACCTATTTTTTTACTGATTAGTATTCAATCTTTATTGATTAGCCCTTGGGCCGTATCAAAGTCCAGAATTCCAGAAACAAATTATTACTAAAATTTGAGCAAAAATACTAAACAATTTAGTATTCAGTATTTAATTCAGTTTTGAGGTTGATTCCTTGATGGATCTGGGTGGTTTCCAAACATGTAATTGTGTTCTCTCAGTCTGTACAGGGGACTGCTGGTTCAAAACGTGGCAGTCTGGACAGTTAATGGTGCCAGTTATTCAGCCTGTGTGTTACTAGTGTAATTCAAGGTGATAGTAGTTTTATGTTCATAGTTTGGGGCCAGTTTACCTATGGGATCATCTCTTTCCAGTTATTGCTGTCTTTTTTAACCAATCCAGAAGAAAGGTCCATTATCCCTCCCTCCCTTCCTTGTACACTCTCCCCAACCCATGTTGCACCTACCAGTACCTCACACACTCCTTTCATCTTTTCCCACCTGGCAGCATCCATTTACTGTGCTACCTAACCCACCCACACAGTTGGTTTAGAGAGAGTTTTATTTTGTCTTTCTCCCCAGCAGTTCTGTTTCTGGTTTCAGCTTATTCACACTGCTAGATTAGAACAGCAATTTGGCTCAAGATCAAGTAAATAACAAAGAAATGAACATATGGCAAACTCAAAACAGTCTCGGAAATACAGGCTTTGCCTAGGTAGTTTCAAAAGAGAAGCCAAATTCCAATCTGAGGTTTGGAGCCTCCCATTAGATTTGTCAGCCAGTCCAGTGAGATTGCTGTCACTAAGTGATTGGTTGTTCTTTATGACCATATCATCCAGCAGTGGAAATTCTGATCTCAATTGCTATGGGAGTTAAGGGCTACCTGTATAACTTTGGGTCTAGTGTGAATTGGGGCTAGTAATGAAACCTGTGAAGATGTTGATTGCAAAAATAAGTTTTTTAGTTAAAAATAGTACAAGCAATTTAGCAAACATAGTCACAGTTGTTCACAAATACAAATTAATTTAAACAATTGTTTAGAAAGGGATATTCAAATTTTGCTTTTAACTTTATAGTAAGACAGATTTTGGAAATAGAATAACAAGAAGTAGTAAGTTGTAAGTTGAAGTAACTTATCATCATGTGAATACTAATAATACAATAAAAGTAATACTAAGTGTATAGAATTTGAGTGCGCATTCCTTATAATTTGGCCATATACCTTTATCTGTTCAGCTATCTTATTCAAGATGATTAAAGCTTCTAAATATCAAATTATTATATTATTTTGTTTCGGCAATAATGCTCAGCAAGATTCATTCTTTTTAAAAAATATTCTTCATTAGTGATAACTCTATCTTTATAGTGATATAGCAAACTGTTCATGGAGTTTACACCATTACTGCCAATTTATAAGAGATTATGAAAGTTGTTCAGAATGTGTGGAATATGTCAGATAAGTTGTCACAGTGTTGTTAATTATTTATTGTCTGTACATTTCATATTATTTGCAAGTATGCTGTACCTGCAACATTTAAACAGTGTTTTAGAAACAATATTAACAAATTTTGGTTTTAAAAATTAATTCCAGGATGCTTTCTCCTTGAGATCTGCATAGATTATAGATTTTTCTTTTAGGCTTTTAAATCTATAGCAGTTGATCAATTGTTGAAGACAATATGAAACTTATTTCATATAATCCAGCTTCTGAAAATAGTTATCCAATAATAACTATCATTATAACTAAATTATCAAATTGCCATCTAGTTCCATATCTCTGGTGGTATTCATTCAGAAAACTAATATAGGCATAACTTAATATTTTAATGGAGGTGTGTTAAACTAATTCTTCATTTTGGTCTTTCAACTATATTAGTCACGTTTTGTTTCTTCTTAGTAAAAAGTTATATTATGTCAAGAAATCAAATACATACTTATATGCCTTTTTTAAAAGGTGTTCCATGATGTTGCTTATAAAGCCAAAGATAGAAATGATCTACTATCTGGAATTGATGAATTTTTAGATCAAGTGACTGTTCTTCCTCCAGGCGAATGGGATCCTTCAATTAGAATTGAACCACCCAAGAGCGTTCCTTCTCAGGTAGGTTCCTCAGCAAATGAAGAGTCCTTTAAAATGCACAATGGTATGGTAAGTGTGATCAAGATTGCACCATAAACCTGAAAAATAAATTTGCAATGAAGTAACAAGTTGATGAAAGGTGAGATCAAATTCATAGAATTGTTTTTATCCTATAAATCTTTATATTTATAATTTATAAATCTTTATAGATTTATAGGGATCTATAAAGATTCAAAAGCAAAAAAAAAAAAAAAAGAAATTATTTTACAGCTTTTAATTTATTGAACAGAAGTGGCTATCACTCTAATGTTAGATTAGCCTTTTAAAAATCAAACACTGGTTTGTAAGAACACTATATTATATAGTTAGCCTGGAAGACTAATATCAATGTGAAGAAGACTGCTTGAAATTATGCTTGTTATTTCTTCTGATCCTTAAATATTGTCAGCTGCTGGGACAAGCTGGCTGAAAAACAAAAACCTTCCTCAGACCATACATTGATAGTTTTGCTATAATTAAATAGATAAAACATAATGTAAAAGAAGCATTTGTCCTGCTACCAAGAAACAAATACTAAGAATTATAACTTTATCATGACTTAAAGGCAAAAATCATTTAACATTTTAATATAGGAGAAGAGGAAGATTCCTAAATTTCCAAATGGAGCTGCTTCTCCTGGAGAACCCCTTAAGGAAGAAGGTCATCATGCTGGACCTGAACTACAAAGAACTGGAAGGTGTGTAGAATTTACTTCAATTATAATAACATCAGTGTGAAAATCAAAATCATTGTTGCGTTAAAAATTTATAAAATGTCATAGATTAAAATTTCTACATAAATATGTTTGATTCCTAGCTAATGGTCTATTTTAAGTCTCTTAATATAGTAGAACTATTCTTTAGTAGATTCTAGGGACTATAGTGAAGTTTTAATACAACATCTGAACCATATTATGAAGATAAAAATAATTTGAAGTAAAAAATTGCCTGTGTGAAGCTAGATATTCAAAATATTACAGTTAAGAGTAGTTATAGTTCTCACATGTGAAAATTATACAGATGTCCTGTAGGCTCCCAATCTTGGCAGTTACAACAGAAAAAATCATTTCAGAAGGATAATATCTTTGTTTAAATTTAATTCTAGTGAAATGTCTTCATATGGAAAATCCTTGTGAAGATATGGTTGCCTAAAATTTCAAGATGGTCTAAATTTTAATTAAATACTATTATTAAAGGAGAGACAACCCTGACAAATGGAAGATTTTAAATTTCAATTTCTTTCAAAAGTTTTTCATCTTCCTTAGGATGAATACCTGTTTTGTTTTCATTCTCAATTGTAAGCATAAAAATAATGGGCATTATAACGCAGCTTTTTTTTAAATTAAATTGTTTTTTTTAAAGAATACTTTTAATCACTAAATTATTTTTTAAATATCTTATAAACATTAAAATAATGCTTTCAAATACTTGCAGCTAGCTTCCTGTTTCTTTAAAAATGTAGACAATATTAAATATCAAAATTGTATGTAAGTCTATTTTAAAATTACTCAAGGCATATATTACTATTCCCCGCAACCACATACATGCACAAAACTTGGTACTGAATGCAGAAGTTGATGCCCTGAAAATGTTTTCATTTAAGACAAGCCCCAGAGACCAACAATGGATACTTTACCATTAAAATGCATAAATCAGAAGATCAGTTCACTCAGCTGAGAATGTATAGATGAAATTGGAATGTTTGCATCTGTATTGTCAATAGGTTTGGAATATAAGGCTAATTTATGCTAAAAATCTGCACTGTCAGTCTTGTGTGTCCCATAGTTTTAAACATTCTGGAGTCCTATAGAGTACAGTTTGATGAGTTTCATCTCACCTATTTAGGCTTTTTGGTGGTTTGATACTTGACATCAAAAGGAAAACATCTTTTTTCTTGAGTGACTTCAAGGATGCATTAAGTCTGCAGTGTCTGGCCTCGATTCTTTTCCTATACTGTGCCTGTATGTCTCCTGTAATCACTTTTGGAGGGCTCCTTGGAGAAGCTACAGAAGGCAGAATAGTGAGTACAAAGAATGGTAGTAGCCAGGATTTTAGCTTTTCAGAGGCAAGTGACTGTGTTCATTTGTCTCCTTTATTTCTACTTTTATTTGAAGACCTTTATCAACCTCCTTTTGACTAGCCCTGCCCAATAATACATGTTTCTCAAATATGTGGAAAAAATGGAGAACAGGAGGAGATGCACAGTTAAGGTAAAAATTATCCTGCCTTGATGAATCTGTTTCATGGTCCGAGAAACAACTTTCATTGTATGTTTTTAAAAGGCCTTAGCCTAGTAATGGAAAAATATTTGTTACATCTTCATAATATATTCAAGAATGCTAATTCAGAGATCTTGTTTATTTTGTGAAATAATAAAATAAAAAATATGCTTTTAAAATGTTTTGTAAATAAAAATTCAGTATTCTGTACTAAACTAAATGTCATGCACACATGTATGTAACAAAATTTAAATTAATTTTTATGTTAGAGAAAAGCTGTTTCAAAAAGTGATATGGCAAAAAAAGAATTATTTCTCCTTCTCTATCATAATTTATCATATTTCATTTGGTGTGAAAATAACGTACTACCATCTTTCCTTCCCCATCGACCTAAGTCCAGGCTTGAATGTTCCTGGGGATGTTATTGTTAGTTGCAAAGTCATGTCCAACCCATTGTGACCCTATGGACAACATTCCTCCAGGCCTTCCTGCCCTCTACCATCTTCTGGAGTCCATTTAAGCATACTAAAAAGCATTTAAGCATACTAAAAAGCAGAGACATCACCCTGCCAACAAAAGTGTGTATAGTCGATTATGGTTTTCCCAGTTGCAATGTATGGCTGTGAAAGTTGGACCACAAGGAAGGCTGAGCGCCAAAGAATTGAGGCCTTTGAACTATGGTTCAAATGAGACTGCAAGGTGATCAAACTGGTCAGTACTAGAGGAGATCAACCCTGATTGCTCTTTAGAAGGCCAGTTCCTGAAGTTGAAAACTCAAAATACTTTGGCCACCTAATGAGAAGGAAGGACTCACTGGAGAAAAGCCAAATGCTGGGAAAGACTGAGGGCAGTAGAAGAAGGGGACGACAGAGAATGAAGTGGCTGGATGGAGTCATTGAAGCAGTAGGCGTGAGCTTAAATGGACTCCAGAAGATGGTAGAGGACAGGAAGGCCTGGGGATATAGCATTAGAGAAAGATGGCAGAAAAATGGTAAAACATCTTTTCTTACTGGTCCTCCAAACAGAATAATTCTCTTAAATATGCTTTCCTCTACAAGAAATACTTGGATTTGAATGCATCTATGCAACACCTAGTTTGATTTTAAAATATTTATTTTCTATTGCCAGAGGAAAAATATATTTCTAAGGAAAACTTGAATGTGAACTCTAAGAAGTTTGGTCAATTACTATATTTTCATGATAAGTTCAATGCTATATCAGCCATAATAATAGTTGATTTATCCTAGTTTTCAAATTAATTAATTAACCAAATATATAAATGAATGGAATCACTGAATATAAGTTATTTGTGCTCAGCATTTTAGTTTGTAACTGGCACTTATGAAAGTACATTTTGAAGGTCTTATGGCATATAATATGCCAGTGCAAATATATTCTTCCATGCACAGGGTGGAAAACCTATGGCTTGTGAATCGTATGCTCTCCTGAATTGCATTTTTGTCATCTCTAGAGCTTTCTCAGTTTGCTTTGATGAAATTTGGCAGCAATACAACAGAACTTTGTCTATAGGACTTTTCACATTTGGGGACCAAAGTAAATGACCACTTAGTTATGATCAACCCCCATATGGTTTAATTAACACATTTGCTTAATAGCTACATCCTAAATTTGCAAAGAGGGTTTAAAATTTGTCTCACTACATTACACTATTCCCATGCCTCCCCCCACCCCTGCAAGCTATGGAATGGATAGCTTTTATAAATAAAAAAAGCATATCCCCCTTCTACAAAATGGATACTTATCTCATTTTGGAAATAAAAATGTGTGCCTGTAGTCCTTAAACTTATTTACATATATATTGAGAAGTTAACTTTGCTTTCTAAGACAATATTAGTATTTTGAATTTTACTAAATTTGTTATATACCTGGACACTTTTAGATGTATATATTATATTATCCTGGTTTGAAAAACACACAAAAAAGTCTCCCTACTATTTCCTTATAGAGAGCTAGTTTTCTATATTACAATATGACCTGATAAAATGATGTCCGATGTCTATGATTACCATACATAGCTTACTACCCATAGCTAAAAAGATGCTATTTAGCACTATTTTGGTATTAAAATAGTAGTTTTAATTGTATGTCATAAAGCTGCTGACTTTTAAAATGTCCATTTTTAATGTACATTGAAAAATACCTGATATTTTATTTTCTAGTTGTCTGGAGTTGTTCGTTACCTTCAGTGGCTTGATGTGCATGAGTACATTAGTTCTTGCATTTTTGTGGTTAAACAAATAACTTAATAACCTAAGATTAATAATAATCTTAATAACCTAAGAAAGATGTTTTGAGTACATGTGATTTTTTTCATATATCCAAAGCTGTCATTTATACAATATATTTGCTCTGAATATCTAAGGTTAATGCACTGATCAGCTCAGACTAAATTGTGTGTATCTTTGAAGTATGATTGTATATGCTAAGGTGGTTGTGCCTCACCCTAACTCTAACCCCACTGATATTTATGTATCTGCAATGATTGATTATTTTAGTGTACACAGTATCAACTTATATTTGCCCAGAAAATGTTTTGGTTGATCTTAAATACTATGCAGTGAATTCAAAGTAATTAAAAGTGAGGTTGTTCAGATATTTTAAATTACTTTTGGTATTTTAAAGTATATAGAAATATAATTTTAAGTCCTCCTATTCCCTGGGAATGCCTTATATAGAAAATAAAAGGGGAGATAGTTGCTGGGCATCTATGGACACTGTAACTGAGAAAATGCATTATTGAACAGGATGATAATTATTTGATCTATTTATTATTTCTGTTGTCTGTTTATTTCTTTTAAATAATTGAATCATCATTGCCCTGTTGCATTCAGTCAGTTTTTGAGTTCTATATTTTAATACAAGCCTTATGCCCAGCTTGGCTAAAGGTTTCTTTCAGGAAAAGTTATCCTTGTTTTCCTACTTTAATTAGATTTGGTATGTTACAAGTATTATAACATCCTTGTTGTCATTTAATGTGTCAAAACAGATAATCTTTCCTTAGGTTTTTGTATAAATTTACACTTTCATTGGACTATTTCACATTGAATACTTTATTACTAATCTACAATGTAAAATGTATTTAGCTAATAATATTTATAATATTCTAACTGTTGATGTTAATTAATATATGAAAATACACATTATTAAATGTTTAATTTATCTTCAGTGAATCACAGGATTCTTTTTCCCTCTCTCCAGAGTGCAATAGAGTCTTTATTTGGAGCCTCATTAACTGGAGTTGCCTATTCACTTTTTTCTGGGCAACCTTTGACAATATTGGGCAGCACTGGACCAGTACTAGTATTTGAAAAAATATTGTTTAAATTTTGCAAGTAAGTACATTTTTCATTCTCACAAATTCAACATTCTATTAGCTTCAGTTTTTCTGACGCACACTGAAGTGTAGTAGTTTCAAATATATCTAATATTTACATGACTTAATTTAGCAGGAAATCAAAATTTTGTTTTCATCATCAAACACTTTTAGAATTGTCATTAAAGTCAGATAAGGCAAGCATTCTAGAACAAAGCTAGTTCATCATTTCAAATATTAATATATTTTTTTGTAAATTTTATTGGTTTTTAAAGACAAACAAAAACAAACAAAACATAAAAACATCCAACTTTCTTCCATAAGTGTACAAGCAGTGTGTCGGTTGGTTTACAAATTTTTTGTGCATCCATTTCATAGTCACAATTACAGTTACATTGCATAATAACTCATATTATCAATCAAAGATTAAATACCCTAGTATTATTACTCAATCATTTGACTATAATTTTGTTCATTCATACTTTGCGAGATAACTATAATTTACTTAGTTTATTTTATAACAATTCATATAATCCTCCCAAATCTATCCTAGAAACATTTTATAGATATAATAATAAAAAAAGAAAAGAAATACATCTTTATATATTCATTGTTTTCTAAAATTCTACATATTTTAATATTGTTTTATTATCTAACCATTGATAGAAAAGGTCCCAAATTTTGTAAAATTGTTTATCCTCTTGTTCTCTAATTTCAAATGTCAATCTACTCATTTCAGCACATTCCAATATTTTCTTAATGGTTTCCTCCTGCGATGGTATTTTCTCATTTTTCCAATTTTTAGCAAATACAATCCTAGCTGCTGTTAATACATTTACAATCAAATATTTTAAATTTTTACTGTATGTATCAGGTAAAATTCCCAATAAAAATATCTCTGGTTTCAAATCTATATGTTTTTTTGTCATTTTTTCCAACCACGTGTGGATTTTAGTCCAATATTTTCTTGCATCCGCACAAGTCCACCACATATGGTAGTATGAGCCAGGTGTCTGATGACATTCCCAACATTTTTCGGATTTATTCTTGAACAACCTTGCTATTCTTGTTGGGGGAAAATGCCACCTGTAAAACATCTTATACAAATTTTCTTTAAATGCTGTTGACATTGTCATTTTATAATTTTGAGACCACAGTTTTTGCCATTTCTCTAAATCAATCCCATATCCAAAATTCTTCCCCCAAGCAATCATAGCTTCTTTAACTTGTTCTTCTTCTAGTTTAATTTCTAATAAATATCTATACAGTTTTTTAATCACCTTTTCATCGGTACCTGTCAAAAACTTATCTAAAGTCAGTCAATTTATGATAAAAACCTTCTGTTTTAAAATCCTCATCATACCTTGAGTGTATTTGCGCATATGAAAACCAATTCATCTTTATACCTTGTTCCTCTAGCTTTTGCATAGATTTAAGTTCACCCTTTTCATTCAAAATTTCCCCATATCTAACTGTTTGTTCCTTCTTGTATATTATAGGATAGGAAAATGCTTCAATAGTCGATAACCAGACTGGAATTTTCAAATAGCATTGTTTTTTAATCTTCTCCCAATTTAACCACAGAGACTCCCGTATATAATGTCTTCTAAAATAGCCCTGTGTTTTGGTACCCTTGTATCATAAAAAAGCATGCCACCCCAACAACAAATCATGTCCTTCTAATGTCAACAATCTAGTATTTCTTAATGTTATCTATTCCTTAGCCCACATCAAGTTTGTAGCTTGATAGTACAACTCCCAATTAGGCAAACCAAATCCTCCTCTAATTCTAGCATCTTGCAAAAGTTTTAACTTTATTCTCGCTTTCTTAACTTGCCATATATATTTCAACACAATTTTATTTAAATCTTCAAAGTAGTCCTTTCCAAGCCTAATTGGTATTGTTTGAAACAAATATAAAATTCTGGGTAAAATATTCATCTTGATTGTTGAAATTCTCCCTATTAATGACAATTGTAGATTTTCCCATTTCGTCAAGTCCAACGCTATCTGCTGTTTAAGTTTAATGTAATTGTTCTCTTTCAATGTACTACATCTTGCTGTCAAATGTATACCCAAATACTTAACCTTGTTCGTGACTTGAATTTTCAGTAGGTCTGCCAATTCTTCTTTTTGTCTTAGTAGCATATTCTTTGTCAAAATCTTTGTTTTATCTTTATTTATTTTCAAACCAGCCACCTTGCCATGTGCCTCTATCTTTTCCAATAATTTTGGTGCTGTTTCTAAAGGGTCTTCTAAAATAAAAGCCAAATCATCCACAAAGGCTTGCAATTTAAATTCTTCCTTTTTTATTTCAAATATTAATTTTTGATCCACCAGGAATGAAGTTACAAATTGTCTTCTTCATTTCAACTTACTAGCAAATCTTCAAGGTACTTTTCCTGATACAATTTTAAAAAATAAATAAATATTAAAAACAAATTACACAAATGATAAATACTAAAAACTAAGTGCATCAAACTGCAGATCGAATTACATTGTTTTAAGACAAGGGACATATGTGGTGGGAGAAAGTACATCAGAAAAATTAGCATGGTATCCGTGATTGCCCAAAAACTCAATTTTTATATATAATATGCAATAAATGTTAAAAAGGAAAGGATTTTTATCACACAGTTGCAGTTTTTTGTTTTGCTTCCCCTATGGTTGCATTTAGAATCATAGTACCATAGGGCTGGCAGGAACTTTGGAGATTTTCTAGTCCAAGGCAGGAGACCTTGTTATCGTTTGTCAGTAAGAAGAGAAGGAAAAACATGAAGCTGACTTATGTCAGACTAACTCGGGACCCAATCTGATACCAAAGAATTTATAAAGAAGCTCTTAAAAGGATGCCAGTAATTAAAGATGCATAAGCATTGAAAAAGTTCTAATTGCCATGCATCTTCAGAAGGCAGTAATACCAGAGACCAGCTTCTGCAACAGATCTGCTATTTCTGATTTTAAAGCTTTACAATTTAACATTTCCAATCATTTTATTTCAGTTGTTGAAATGTCATTAAAAATTAAAAAATTAAAAACAAACAAACAAAACAATTAGTGTGGCTATTCTATTGAAAGAGAATAAAAATCTGTATTTTGAAGTTTGTTATTGATCCATAGTTATGTTTATTTGCTTGGGAGGATTCAGTCCTCCTCAAATTCTGTTATATAGTTGTAAGTGCATATATATCTTTGTCAACATGTGTGTAAATAGAATGTATTGCAATAGTGAAAATCATTCTTATAAATCATTTCACTAATATATGATTCTATGTTGCCTTTTTCAACAGAGATTATGGACTTTCTTATCTTTCATTACGAACCAGTATTGGTCTGTGGACATCATTTTTATGCATCCTGTTAGTAGCAACAGATGCAAGCAGTCTTGTGTGTTACATTACTCGATTTACAGAAGAGGCTTTTGCTGCCCTGATTTGCATAATATTTATATACGAAGCACTGGAAAAGCTCTTTCATTTGGGAGAAGTATATCCTTTCAATATGCACAATGACCTTGATAAGCTGACATTGTATTCGTACGTGTGATTTTTAAATAAAATACATTATTTTATTGTTTTCTTTGAACTTTCCTAGAAATTTTGAGAGCCAGATTAAGCCAATAGTACATCTAAGAAAGTAATCCAATAGTTTACAAATTATTCTTTTGTTCTAACATTTCTTTGATTATTACTCTTAATGCATATTGTAAATTATTTGTTTGGATATTTCTCATTCCACTCCTTTTCTTTGCTTTTTGTCTTTATCTCTAATATTGAAAACAAGGACCATGAGTGTTTATTTTTAGAGTGAGTTGTCAGCTCTTTATTAAACCAGCTTGTTTTGAAAATGCACTGCATTTCCTGTTTTAGGTCATTTCATTATTTCATAGTAAATGTTCTTAGTTTCCATTATTCTGTTTTCAAAATATGCATTTAATGTTAAAATATACAAATATGAGACACTGATTCAAATGCTGAATTTTAAATTTGCTAGATGTGTATGTGCTGAACCTCCAAATCCCAGCAATGAAACTTTAGAGCTATGGATGAAAGCCAATACATCTCTGGATACCATACCATGGACCAACCTCACAGTTAAGGTGAATGTCTTGAAAAGTGATGTAAAATTTCATATTTCTGTGCTGATTAAAATTTGCATTTGATATGTGGTTTGAGGAAGGTATGGGACATGCAGCCTGTGCTAGACCTCCCAAGGCCTCCTCCACCCACCATCAGCACTTACTTGGACTCCTCTGCTAATCCATGATCATCAGTGAATGGATGGCAATGCTGGGACTGCAGCCATAGTGATGAAGCTGCATGACAACTTATCATTGCATCAGGTATGACCAAAATTCCAGTCCCAATTGTGATGGTGAGAAACATCTGTATGATCTATCAAGACAGTGTCTACTGTTAATCACATATTTTCCCATGACAATCTATCTCTAACTTGATCTAAAGATCTTCCAATAATGCACTGGTTGTTCTGCCCTCTTCTCTTTCCTTCTATGTTTCCAAGTTTTATAGCCTTTTCTACAGAACCAGAACTTTGTATTATGTGTTTGAAGTAGGATAAGTTGAACTTATTTGTTCCTTGAGTGGAAATTGTGGGTTGATTTACGCAATAATAAATTGTTTTATTTTCTGTCACAATATTCCCAGGATCTTTTTCAGCACCAAAGTTCAAAACATAGGTATTCTTTCTGTCTTCTATTCTACTTCATCAAAGTGCAACTTGTGCTTCCATAGACTGTCATAGGGAATGCCATTGCTTGGACCAGCGGTCGCCAACCGGTGGGCCGTGGCCCACTGGTGGGCTGTGAGAAAATTTTGGTGGGCCGCAGAGAAATCTCACCCCCAGAGCACCCCCCCAAAGCAATTGATCCAGGCTGCGCAGAGACACAAGGCTGCTCAGCCCACATGGCCCGTAGGAACCCTCCCCGCCCACTCACTCCTTACCCGACAAACTTGTCTGCTAAGTTGCTATTTTTCCTTTTTCCGACCATCATCTGTTCTGCTGTGCTGGGAGATTTAGATTAGCTAGGAAGCAGGAAATGGTTGGATTTCTTGCTTTCTAGCTAAGCACAGCCAAACCTCCCTTAGGACTGAAGGTTTGCTTGCAAGCAAATTCAGTGCAGACTCACGGCAAGCAAATTTGAGAGACTGAGCTAGCTGATGGCAGATAGATAGATCACTCAGTGATTCTGTAAGCAACTCAGTCTGCCTGCTTTACCTAATTTTGGGTAAAAGTTGCTCTTTTTTTATAAAAAAAATCAATATTTACATACATGGCGTGTTGTGAGTTAATTTTGTGAGTTTGCTTGCAAGCAAATTTTGTGTGACAGACTGACGGCAGATAGATAGATTTCTGAATGAATCTGTGATTCTGTGAGCAACTCAATCTGCCTGCCTGCTTTGCCTGATTTTGGGTAAAAGTTGCTCTTTTTTTATAAAAAATTCAATATTTATATAAATATTCATAATATTTACATACAAGCTGTGCCCAGCCAGTCACATGACCACCAAGCCACACCCACAAATTAGGTCATGCCCACAGAACCAGTTAGTGGTCCCTGGAATCTAAAATTATTAGTTTGGTGGTCCCTGAGGTCCAAAAGATTGGCGACCCCTGGCTTGGACTTTTTTGATCTTTGCAGGTACATTACATTACAACATTTAGTTATCTTTTCCAAGGCCTTCATGGCTACTCTACCAAGTGCTAATATGTGATATATTTCATGTCTGCTTCTTTCCTTGCCAATGGTTGATCCTAAAAAACAGAAACTTTCTAACTCTTTGAAAATTATCAGTTCTTAGGTTGGTTGTTCTATCTGTTATAATTACTTTAGTTTCTTTTTTATATTTCATTTTAGTTTCATTTTTCCTCAATTTGTCCCTTGACTATTATTACTAGAGTTTACAGATCCTGCATGCAAAGATGGCAGCTTCAGGATGAATTCCCCAAAATCTTTCCTTGCTTTACCCCTTCTCTCCCCCATAAACTTGCACTTTTTCAATAAAGAAAACAGATAAAAAATTGATATTCTTGATTTTTCAGTTCCTCCCATCCCATTTAGGTAGTGAAACTAAACTGTGCACTATCTTGATCACCTTTAACTATTTAATTTGCTAAATGTATTACAATATGTGCCTCTGGAAAGGAAGTGACAACATCTGTAAGTTACTTACCTTGATAAGTGACTGGCAGGCTGAAGACTGGAGGAAAAGAGCTTAAATAAGTGGGGAGGGATAAAGCAAGGGGAATGTTTTAGGAAACTTGTCCAGAAGCTGCCACCTTTGCATACAGGATGCTGGCTTCCTCAAAGCCAAGTAAGAGCTAGGAGAGGCTGCTGTCTTCAACTGCCAGCTGATTGGGATCGAGGCCTAGCCCACAAGTATGGTTTCCTTTGTGAAAAGCCACTGGTAATGTAGCACTAGTGACTTGTTTGGAAATCTCCTTGGCATTGAATATGATGTCCCCCCCACCCGGGATGTTTATGGCTTTGCAACCTTTTTTGCTGCTTGTATGTTTCCTTTTTTGGCCCAGCTAGGTAGTGGGCCTCCCAGTGCCTCTTCCATTCCTGAGGAATCCCATGTTCTGCTTATCAACCCACATGGTCATTTAACAGCAGCATTAATGAGAGCTGAGTTTGGAGATCATTAAACAAAGCCCTCTTACCTAAGGATCCTTATTATTTCTGACCATAATGGGAAGCTCATTACAATCATAAGTCGAGGGTTACCTGTATAGTTTTTTCATAGGGTGTTGAGACATTTTGGGATTCTCATTATTCTAAATTCAACTTGATATAATCAACATGGTGAAAGGTCTTTTTATTATCGTTGTAGCATATGACTACTTTTGGTATTGATTAACTTATTTATCCAGTGTGCATCAACAAATCAACCAATGGAACAGCTTGCCCTCAGAAGTTGTGGGAGCATCATCACTTGAGACTTTCAAGGAGAGATTGGACTGCCATTTGTCAGAAATGATGTAGAGTCTCCCGCTTGGGCGGGGGTTGGACTAGATGACCTAGAAGGCCCCTTCCAACTCTGATTATCTGTTATCTGTTACCGTCTCATGTTCTTTGGCCTTTTTAAAAGCCAGTGTGAACATCTGGCATCTCCCTTTACATGTAGGGCTCTAATCGTCTTGAAACATCCTAAGCATTATTTTGCTAGCTTGGGAAATTAAGGAGATTGTATAATTTATACACTCTGTTAATTCTTTTTTGATATTGGAATGTAGATTGACTTCTTTCAATAAGTGTTCTCCAGATTTGCTGGTATGGGTTAGTTAAAATCTTTATTGATTCTTCATCAGTTGTCAGTTATATTCCTGTAGTTATCTATCAGTTTCTATAATTCTTGTAATAACCAATGTGTTGATCTAATTTCATCTTCTAGTGCTAAAGGTAAGTAGGGAATATCTTCTAAGCTATCTTGCATGTTGATATTTGTAACAGAATTACAGTTAATAGGCTATTAACTATATGTTGGCATTGTTTAGAATATCAATTTAATGTTGGGACTTCCTTCTGAGCTAAGAAATATTTAGAAAGAGTTTCCTTGTTTTTCTTACTGTGTTTCCAATTTCAGTGCCTTTGCAGGTTGCTGTAACACTGATTCTTGTTTCTTTCAGCAGCTCTTTGTAACTATTTTTCAAATTTCTACCTGAATTTTTTGTCTTTCTTGGCTTTGGCTTCTTTTATCTTCTTGGCAGTTTTCATTGTTTTTTTCTCACATCCAGTTTCTTCTTTTTCTTAATCTTTGGCAATCTCTTTTCACATTCAAAAGTTCTTTAAGTTCATTTCAAATTTCTCTGGTGCTCCATCAATGAGGGTTAGGACTTCAAAGTGATCCCTGATGTTCTCCTTGAAAATGGTGGGTTTAAGATTATATCATGGAAACTAGTTGGTTTCTTCTTTAGTCTTAACTTGAAGTTTGCTCATGAGCAGTTTATGATCTCTTCCACAGTCTGTATTGCCATGTCTTTGATGCCATAATAGAGCTCTGTATAGGAAAATTTCAATGGACTCCATATGGTGCTGTCCATATATAAAGGCAGCATTTTGGTTGTTGAAGGCCTGTCACCTATGAAGAAGTTATTGGTCTGGCAGAAATTGAAAAGTCAGTCTTCTGCTTAATTTCAGTTCCCTAAACTTATACAACCCAACTACATTTTCCTCTTTAATATTTCAAACTTTGGCCTTCTAGCCTTCAATTTTGCTTGACGTGTTTTGACATGTTTATGAACTTGATAATAAAATCTCCTCTTCTGCATCAGTGTTTGGAGCTTAAAGTAGTATAGCTATTATTTAAGTGGTTGTCCACAAAGTCTGATTAATAATATTTGGTCACAGATTGCATTGTAGCCAAGTACTGTTCTTGTTAAACCCTTCTAAGTATAATAGCTTTCTTTTTTGTTTTTAATATTCTGAGTAATAAACAGTATGATTTCCTAACTGAAACAGTATCCTAACAGTATAATTTCCTAACTGAATCCCAGTTCATTTCATTTTGCAAATCCGTAAACTGACAATTTTCATACATAGGGCAAATTAACATGGGAAGAAATTTGTTTATTTATAGAGTTTTTAGGCTTTTCTAGTTAGAACTACAGTGTTTTCCTGAAAATTAGACAGAATCTTATATTAATTTTTGCTCCAAAAGTACATTAGGTTTATTTTCTGGTTAGGTATTATTTTTGGGAAATACGGTATTAAAATGTGTCCATCTGGCTGACAATATTAACTGGGTATTATTTTGGGGGTAGGGCTTAAATTATGAACATCTGGAAAAATCATTCTATGGCTTATTTTCCGGTTGGGTCTTATTTTGGGGAAAACTAATTCTGAGTAGTTGAAGCTAATTGTTAAACTGGTGTGTATTTTTGCATATTAAAACATTAAACTTTTTTAAAATTAACAAGTAGATGTTGCTTGGTCCATATTAAAGCAATTGTGAGTTTTTAATTTCATGTATGATGAAATTATACACACAAGTTTAACTTCAGATGTGAATATTTTTAATGCAACATCTGATTTGTGTTCATATTTACAGGAATGCAATAATCTTAATGGCATATTTGTTGGATCAGCTTGTGGACACCATGGTCCATATTTCCCAGATGTTCTTTTTTGGTCTGTCATATTATTTTTTACAACATTTTTCCTCTCCTCTTTTCTCAAGCAATTTAAGACCAAACGTTATTTTCCCACTAAGGTAATTGTGATAGCTTTTATACCTTCACATGATTTTTACAGTAAGTATTTTGCTGAAGATGTGGGGGGTGCACAAAGGGAAGCTCAGCCAATCTCATTGTACACATGTTGTACTCTGACAATAAAGGTAATAATAAGATAATTTAATTTGTAATGTTAAAGGCAAATAATATATTGTTTTGCATGAACTGGAACAATGCTAAATTACATTTAGCATTTAGTTAGAAAAAATTCTGATGACAATGAGCATAAAATCTTGTGACCTATTTCCAAAATTTTAAATTCTGTGTATTGAGTATTTTCATTATGTATTATAAAATAAGAAGAAATACTTCAATTGTTGACATAGATTTTTAAATTAGTTTAATTCTCTATCCAGCAGAAGAACACTTGATTATTTTGGCAAATTGTTGCCAGCTCCTTGCTGGGTCATCAAGAACTCCCTCTCTGCTGTATTTCCAACAGAGATTGGGAAAGTCATTTCTTGGCAATTTTCCAGGCGTCAACAAGTTCGACCGTGCTTGGGCCACAACTGCCTCCTGCAGTTCCTGACTGGCAACCCATGACTCATGCTGAGATTACCGAGCTTATCTCCGAACTCAAGTCAGGCAAAGCCCCTGGCCCTGATGCTATGCCCCCTGATCTGCTAAAATCCAATCCCGAGTGGTGGATTCCTCTCTTAGCAAGACTCTTCACGCATATCAATACCTCTGGCAGGATCCCTACCTCCTGGAGCTTAGCAATTATTGTTCCAGTTTTTAAACGAGGAAATAGGAACAATCCAGCCGACTATCGCCCCATAAGCCTGCTCTCCATCAATGGGAAACTGTATGCTAAATATCTCCAACGTAGACTCCTCACCTGGGTTGAGGAGTCCAATATTATTGGTGCTGAACAGATTGGGTTTAAAGCGGGCTGTGCCACACTGAACCACTGCTTTGTCTTAGTGCACCTGGTCGATAAATATACTACCATACCAGGTGGCAAACTTTTTATTGCTTTTATCAACCTAAAGTCAGCGTTTGACTCAGTCCCTAGGGGACTGTTGTGGTCAAAACTGCTCAAAAGTTCTATCGATAGACGTCTTCTGTTCCTAATCAGATCCTTGTACAACCAGACCTCTAGTCAGGTCAGGTATGGTCTGCAGGGAGAACTTCCAAATCCTATCCCGATTAAGAACGGAGTAAGGCAGGGTTGTGTTCTGGCTCCTCTTTTGTTTAATTTATTCTTATCTGACTTGGCCTTTCACATTGGACGTATTGAGTCCCACACCCCAAAGTTGTCAACTACGAAGATCCCGCTTCTCCTTTATGCTGACGATGCGGCCCTCCTTTCATTGTCAAGGCCGGGTCTGAAAAGATTACTTTCTGCATTCAGGTCCTACTGTGCTGAGAACCACTTGTCTATTAATTACGACAAATCCAAAGTATTGGTGTTCTCTAGAGCCCGGAAATTGTATAACTGGGCTATCAATGGTAATGCTGTTAAGCAGGTTTTCCATTTTAAGTATTTAGGTATTCAATTTCAGAACACCGGTGCTTGGACTAGACATCGAACCCAGGTGCTGAACTCGGCCTCCTGTAGTCACCAGCAGATTTTAAGATTTTTTTATACCCAAGGAGGCCAGTTTATTCCTTCTGCTCTGCATATTCACAAAGCCAAAACTTTGGCTCAAACTCTTTACAGAATTCCCATATGGATACGGGGCTTCAAGGATTGTATTGAAAGAACCCAGGCTGTCTTGTTTTAGAAAACTTCTGGGTCTTCCTCCTTGTGTTGGTTTTGCACCGATGTACCTGGAACTGGGCACTTGATCAGTTGAATGTATGGCGTGGATTAACACCTTTAAATGGTGGTTTCGGGTGCTCTTTCTGGCAGTTCCTGGTAGCTACCTCTCTCTCCCTGGCGTTTGCTGACTCTCATATTTCTCATTGGGAGAGGGAGCTAATGAAGAAATTACACCTGCTAGGTTTTACGGGGAATGCCCTGGGAGATTATGGCCTTAAGGACGCCCAATTTAGGGTAGTCCAACGGCTTGTGGACATTGACTTGCAATATCTACGAGCCAGAGCTAACAAAACTTGCTCCCCTCTGATCTTCAGCCAATTTAATAATTAAGGACTGAGGATGGCTTCCTATTTTTACACTCTAACCATTCCCAAGTATAGAAGAGCTTTCTCCCTAGCCTGTTTTAATGTCTTGCCCTCAGCACTACTGGATGGGCGATTTAAGAGGCTCCCGATTAACGAGCGGCTATGCCCCTGTGACAGAGCTGAGGTTGAAACTGTGGAGCATGTCCTTTTATATTGCCCTATGTATAATATAGGAAGATCTAAGTTACTGTCTCTCCTTGAAATAGACCCTTCTAGACCCAGTGTTAGTAATTTGTCCTTATATTGTCTAGGGGCTGGCTCCTCACATATCACTTCTTTGGTTTCCAAATTTTTTTTAAGAGCTGTAACCATCAGAGGAGAACGCTGTAATTCCCCTTCATCAAGTTTTTGGTGACCAATTGTTCATGATTAATTTTCCCATATTCTTTTGTTGTACTTGTGTTTTGGTCTGTGACCGCAAATAAAGTATTATTATTATTATTATTATTATTATTATTATTATTATTATTATTATTATTATAACAATAATAAATTAGTTTAATTATTTTGCAAGATTTTGATTTACTATTTATTCATGAAGAATTTTTTTCATGAACAAGTGACTCCTATTTCAAAATACTCTAAAATTAATATGTTAAGAGCATATTACAGAATCTGAATGTTGTTGTCCTTCAGAACTATTTCATTGCACATAAGTATTTGAAATGCCAAAGTGCCTTCATGCTTCTTTCTTTTTAGGTACGTTCTACAATAAGTGATTTTGCTGTATTTTTGACAATAGTGATTATGGTTTGCATCGATTATTTTGTTGGAGTTCCTTCTCCTAAATTAAATGTGCCTGAAAAATTTGAGGTAAGTAAATGTTTTTTAGTTTTCTCTTAATAAACTTTGAAATACTATCCATTAAATCCTCAGGCAAAATTATTTAATTTTTAAAAAGTAGTAATTTTTAAAAAAGTGATATATACTGCTGCAGCAGCACTCTTTATTAGCTTTGTAGATGATAGAATTGAGAAACTATATCAGTTGAATTCATATATTTGATTGCATATTTCATGGTTTTGACTCAAACAGCTTTCTGCTTCTGCAGATGCTTTCTGAAGTGCTGTGAATATCACATTATGGCAACAAAATGGAGCAGTTTGTTCCTGGGCTGGGTGGTGGCCTAGCAGAAGCATCTGTCAGGTTGGCATGCTCATATGGAGATTGTACTAAGCAAAATAGGACAGCATGTCTCTATCCCACAAGAAAGTTACCTGGAAGTGACCACTATTTTGGTCTACCCACATGGGCAGGTCAAAATAGCAGCCACTTCCACAAGGCTGCCATATAACTCAGGGACATGTGGTCTGTCCTCTTTTCCAACATACAGTCTAGAAATCTTTTAAAATAAGTGATGAGGAAGATACGGGACGTAGTGAGATGGGAATCAGGCCTTTGGGACTCAGTGGGATGTTGAAAAGACCTCTGGGGACCCAAGGAGCAGGAAGCAGAGCACAGGGTATCTTGGGTATTGGAAGAGACTTTTGGAGGCTGGGAATAGGTGGGCCTCAGCCTGCACTAGATCTTATCCACAAATGGTGGTATGTTACCAGTAGCACTGGTTAGCAGTTGGCTCCACCCACCCACCCCTGCCCTTTCCTCTCCTATATTTCCTTTGTTTGTAGCTCAGCTGATTTGCCTCAGCTGTTTTATTCATCAGCGCTGACGGTAAGTTTTCAAGCTTAAAATAGCCTCTTTTAGAACGTGCCGAAGCACGCGCTCACAGAACCGGTAGTAAAAAAGTTTGAATCCCACCACTGTTATCCACCCCTGAGGCATCCCATGCTTTGCTTAACAACTGCTTGTTTCTTTAACAATCACATAAAGAAAAATAAGATGTGCGCATTGTTAAGTGATGCCAATTTGCTTAACAATTGGCACCACTTGCAAACATAATGAGCAGACTCTACTACTGTCATGTCTCAAAGGTTACCTGTACATTTATATAACTATTTTATTTATTTAAAAGTATCTGTTTTTAATTGCTTCTTGGTATATATGTTTGATTCCTGACAGCCATAGGCTATAATTAAAATTTGTTAAATAGTTTGCTTATTTGGTGGTTCAGCAAAACTTTAATAGTGATATAACAGATGCTAAAAAAGTAAAGGTTGGCAACCAATAAAGTATGATAATACCTTGTGATCATGCCAAATTACCCAATTTCAAATATTTATATCTTAAACTAAAATTGTATTTTTATATTGTTGTATTAATTGCATCCTACATGAAACATATCTTTTTTCAAAAATAAATGTTTTAAATTTAAATTTAAAATAATTTTTATTATAATCTGTATCAAGGTATTTATAGTAAGTGTTTCTCTTATAAATAATGAAAAAATATCTGTTCCTTTTGGTAGCTGTATATTTATATTTTATTTTAGCCTACACGGAGTGATCGTGGATGGCTTATCAATCCTCTAGGGAGTAATCCTTGGTGGACCCTAGTAATAGCTGCAGTTCCAGCTTTGCTCTGTACCATCCTTATTTTTATGGATCAGCAAATTACAGCAGTTATCATAAACAGAAAAGAGCATAAACTCAAGGTGACTAATTGCTTTGTTTGTTCATTTACCAATGCAACAGTTAAGTTAAATTAGAAATAATTACAGCACTAAAGTAATTTTCTATATACAGGAAACATACAAGACAAAATCTTGTATTCAGCTAAATACTTTAATAATTTGTAGCAGACAAATTATTTATAATATAATTTATTTATAACTTAGATCATTTATTCTTGGGAAAGTTTCATGTGAAACAGATTTGACTCTGGTGATTGAATGGACATGTATCTTTTCTTGACATCTGTTTGTCATTGCCTTTTTCCAATATATTTTTAACTTCCCAAGCTAGTGTACAGCTAAATAATTTCATCTTAGCATCACACTGATAACTACATCCAACCCTTCTTCGCTTGTTGAGATCAACCAAGGATGGCTAAGGTTACCATTCAAGAAGACTATTTTTGTTAAACTGTTTAGCTGGAAAGTATAGTAAATTAAATATTGATGTTCTAAGATTGTAAGGAGGGGCAACAGAATTAAAAGCCAAAATTGTATTTCAGACAGAAACTTGGAAATGACCAGCATGAATGTTGTCTATTCATAAGTGTGTGTGTGTGTGTGTGTGTGTGTATGGGAGGGATGTGTGTGGCCTTCTTGAGCTCCATTTTTCCTGGCAGAAGCACTGCGAGCCGGTCCTTCACTGTTTCCAGGGCAGCCCTGTAAGCCAGATCTAAGAACTTTATGGGCCAAATGAGTTTGACACTCCAATTCTATTCCATTCCATTCTTTGTGCAGGTCAGTGAAGAATGTAATTTTCCCAAATACTGAAGCTGTAAAATCTTTTTATTATCCTAAAAATTCTTACCCACTACAATGTTTTCTACAGAGCCCAACCTCGTAATTTTGTTGAGTAGTATTTATCATACCTCTCAAATCTAATTTAAAATTTTGCACTTCTTTTTCATTTTACTCACCATTGTTTTCTGTTGGGTATATTCACTGACACATTATGAAGTGTGAAACAATTTTAAATTTAATCCACTTCTATAATAATCCTTTATATAAACATTCTAAATATTGTGAACATCATCTTACTATGATACCATTTTAATATGAAATATTTGTGTTTGATTCCACAGAAAGGTTGTGGTTATCATCTTGATCTGCTCATGGTTGGCATTATGTTAGGTATATGCTCTATTATGGGTTTGCCTTGGTTTGTGGCTGCAACTGTCCTTTCAATAAGTCATGTCAACAGTTTAAAAGTTGAATCTGAGTGCTCAGCTCCAGGAGAACAACCAAAGTTCCTGGGAATCCGTGAACAAAGAGTGACAGGATTAATGATTTTTGTTCTGATGGGGCTTTCAGTGTTTATGACCTCTGTTTTAAAGGTAAGAAGCAGATTTTAAAATTCTATTACAAGCTTAGTATATTAAAACAATTATTTTCCCTTCCTTTCCCTTCCCCTCCCCTCCGGTCTTTCTCTTCTTTTCCATATTTATTTTCCAAGGATCCATTGATACTACTAAAAATGGTAGTCTTATATTATTAATCTCTCATTACCATCAAATCCTTCACTATATATTTAACTTTCATGATCTACAGTCATACTTGTATATTCATCTCTGCCTAAGTGAATAGTAATGCCTTATATCTGAACCATTTCCCCCCTAATCAGATACTTGCCAATCACTTATGTTCTAATGACAGGTGGACAAAAATACACTGAAATATTCATCTTGTTAAATCTGTATTTTTTTGGGATGAAATAGTCAAATCTTTGCAAAAATTGCTTAAAGTTTTTATATTCATTGATCTGTTGATTATCAAAAATTGATTTACTGGGTTTTTTTACAGTTTATTCCAATGCCAGTTTTATATGGTGTTTTTCTTTATATGGGAGCATCCTCACTAAAAGGCATTCAGGCAAGTTTTAATTTTACTCATGTTTCATCTGTAGAAAAAAGTAACATAGATGTTCTGCAATATTTGGTTTTCATGTCTCACTCTGCCCCCATAAATGATTGTGAAAGGGCTCACCTTCTTGAATTTTTACAAATATATCTATCTTTATAATATTGCAAATTATAACAGATAGGCAGGAATCCAGAAATTCTAAAAGTTTTTAGTAGCTAGTGTAATTCTTTATTACAGATTTAATAAGATTATTATTTTTACTACTCAAAGAAGTATCATGCCCAATTTGTAATCAATTTATTTTTATTACTTTTGTTTTCTAAAATTGTTTTTAGACATATGTTTAATAATTTTTCTTTTCATTACAGTTTTTTGATCGTATTAAACTGTTTGGTATGCCTGCCAAACATCAACCTGATTTGATTTATCTCCGTTATGTGCCACTATGGAAAGTACATGTATTTACAGTAGTTCAGCTTACCTGTCTTATTCTTTTGTGGGCAATTAAAGCATCAGCTGCTGCTGTTGTTTTTCCTATGATGGTAAGCTAATATTTCAGTCTATCTACAACTTTATGCATCACTTATAAATATTTAAACATGAAATTCAATGATAATATTAAAGCTATGCAATTAATGCTGTATACTGTAATTTATATTAATTCTATATTTATATTAGCATTTTGATTTGCTAGTAATTTATATTTAAAACTGTTTTAAAGGTTTTAGCTTTAGTTTTTGTTCGCAAACTTATGGATTTGTGTTTCACCAAACGGGAGCTCAGTTGGCTTGATGATCTTATGCCAGAAAGTAAGAAGAAAAAGGAAGATGACAAAAAGAAAAAAGCAAAGGAAGTAAGTGAAAAGTATTCAGAATTGAGGCAAAAAACCCCCATAGAAGCAGTGTTTGGTGGGAAAATGGAAAACATTTTCCATATTTGAGCTTATCAGTGAAACAAATGGAAATTAGCTTTTAGTTCCTCTAAATATAGCAGTTCACTAAAGCTCTATAAAAAACATGGAAAATGAAATGTGATTGATAGGAATATGACAGCACAAACATAAACAGAATATATACTAAACATAGGTCTTGTATAAGTGTCACATGTAAATGCTCTTTTCCAAATATTAAAAGGCTTTTCAAAGATTAAAATAAAATAAATATTTGTAGATGGTGTATTGCTTTCAGGATTATCTTTCAATAAAAAAGCCATCGTAAATTACTTCAGAAAATACATGTATTCAGGATATAAACAAATAAGAACCAATAGCTATTGTAGATATATTTGGAATGAAATGTACTAAAATTTCTCTATGATTGATATTGTAAACTAGATTTTTAATGATATGTAATACATCTTTTTGTGGGTAAGATCACTGTTATGTTTGTTGGCATAATTTTTAATGTGTTTGTATAATTAATACAAGTGTCAAAGGAAAGTTCAACAGATTTGAAATAATGCAATACATAGACAACTTTTACTATAGTATCTTCCATTATGACAGGTTTACATTTAAAAATACTTCATCATATAACACAGTAATGGACTGTTTTGTTCTGGAGTAATTGTACTATAACTGTTTGAAAATAGCCTGACCTCAAAATGGGCCCATTCTGTATGACCCAGGACATTTCAGGATAGGGCCATTTCAAGGTCAGACCGTTTCCTAATTAGTTAAATAGTTTAATCTGTACTCAGAATTACCTATTTATGAATTAAAATGGTCCATAATGAAAAATTCTTCACATCTCTGGTTTTTAGCAACTATTCAAATATTCAAAAATATATTATTTTTTTGGTGGGTATTATAGACCTGAATTTGAATTCCACAATACAATGGCTTGTCAGTTTGCATAGAACGAGCTTTCATAAGAGGAGAATAGAGTATAATTTTCTGGCCTGACTTCTTCATAAATCTTCATCCTTTCCCCAAATGTTGGTTGAAATCTGTTACTGTGCAGTTTCCAAAATGCCTGCTTTTAGGTCTATGTTGACAAAATACAAAATTCATTTTTGCATTTCTCTTATAATTCAAAATTTGTTAAATCTGTATTGGATTATATATAACTTTCAGGAAGCTGAGCGAATGTTTCAGGCAGTGGACAATGAAACTGTACACCTTCCATATGAAAGAAGTGAAGTATTACAGATTCCTGTGAAAGCTCTAAAATACAGGTGTGGTATTTACCTATTATTTTATATTTTATTTTATATAATAGTTCATTCAATTTAATTCTGAAGGATACTTGTATAATCTAGAATTAATCATGGTCTGAAAGAGGACCAAAGAAGACTATAAAATAACTGCATGTATCACCATAATGCATTACATGTTACTTATTTACATAAATCTTTTGAACAGATCAGATGACTCCATACCAGTCATCTGGAATCTGTATGAAGAACATTATTTAATCCTATTTTATCTCTTATTGTGCATAGTTTATGTGAAGGACACTGAAGATATTAAACTAAGATTTTTATCATTTAGTGAAAGCCAGTATTTTCACATGTATAAATAGTATTGGTTGTGCGCTATAACAGGGGTCCCTAAATCCCGGGCTGTGACCCACTACTGGAACTTGAGTAGTTCGGAACTGGCCCACAGAAGGGGCAGGTGAGCACGCACTTGCATCCCCATTTGTGCAAGCAGTGAACAAATGTGCGTGTTGTGCTCCATTTGCATGAGCAGTGGGAGAGTGCATGAGCATGCACTCCATTTGCATGAGTGTGGGTGCTTGTGCCTGCCACTTGTGAAAATGGAGCTGTGTGCATGCGCGTGCGCTTGCCCACTACTCACATGGAACTATCCCTTCCCACACTTAATGGTCTGCACAGCTGAAAAGGTTGGGGAATGCTGTGTTATAAAATTTGAAATGTTATTCTCCAAATAAACATGTTTACCATTTTTAAAATTAATATTCCTTATATGATTCTGCTACTACTTGGATTCGACATTGTTTTAGAATTTTTAGACTGAGATAAATTTGATTTTTTTTGAAGTATGACTATCCCTACATGAAAAATTAATGCCAAGTGAGTAACTGCAATTAGTTTGGAGGCTATAATGTTTATTTTTGCTTTGACTTTCTGCTGAAAATAGTTATAACAGATTCTTTTCCTTCTCAAGTTAGTTAGTAAAAATATTGAACAGCTTATTGTCAGTTTTCTATCCTTTCTTAACAGAAGCTGTCAAAGTGGTATTGTACATTAACTGCACATGATTTCACTTGATTTTTTCTGTAATACTAAAGCTCATAAAGTACTATCAGTTGAAAATAAGATGGATGAAATAACACACTTAACAAACTTACTTTATGAAGTATCCTCCGCTGATATCATTGATCATGTAGTTAAGTTAGTTTTATAACAATATTTTTCTTAATTTTCCTAAAGCAGTTGCTCCAATTCCATTTGATGTAGTAGTATTTTGTGAATATCTCTACAAAATGGATACCTTGGAGTTGTGCCTATTTACAGAAAGACTGCCATCATTAGCATGGCAGGTCATGATAAAACACTGATTTATCAGAGGGCACACTAGTAAAAATGCTTCCCTTTTTTAATGTCCAGTTTACATTTCTCTTCTTTGCTTCGAAGCTGGGTAAAATATATATGCATTTAATTTATTATTGCATGGAGCCTGATTGCTGGTATATAAGCATCCATGAATCAATGGTAATTTCAGGAAAAGATACATGATAGAGAAAATAGGTAACAGTGATTCTTTCAAAAGTCTTTTCCTTCTATTATAATATGGTTCAGACCTTTAGAAGTTAAGTATTTTCATAGACTAATTTAAAACACTGTACTGGAATGTGAATTATTTTTAACACTGAGATTCTTAGTGTTAAATTAAAATAATGCATTTTCTAGTACCCATGCAAAAAACATAACCAAGGCTTAAAATGGTAGAGTGTGACACCTCATTAATGGTATAGCACAGCATGTAGAATTAATCAGTGTGTATTTATTACCCAGCATTGACCCTTCTGTGGTAAACATATCAGATGAAATGGCCAAAACTGCACAGTGGAAGGCTCTTTCCATGAACACAGAGAATGCCAAAGTAACAAGACCTAACCTGAGGTAGATTAATCATGCTTTATGTTTTGCTTTTGCTTTGTATGTTTAGAATGGAAACAGATGGAGCTGGTTGTTCATTTATATACCACAGTAATGTTGGTGAACCTTGTCGTTCAAATATTTGATGTGTCAAATATTCAGAAAATGCTTAACTTGACTCTTCTGGCATGTCACATACATCCCCCCTCCCCAAAAAGAGAGAAACAATTATGTTTATGTATCTCCCCTCCCCCATATAAACCAACCTAAGCAGTGTGGCCAAGATTGGCCCTGAAGTAGAGTCCCAAACCTTGATTTTAGCCCTAATGCCCTGCAGCCACTCAAAAAAGCCTCCTCTTGATATTCCTGAAGCACACCCCATTTTTGCTCATCCTCCAAAAGTATTGTAAGAATGAGTCATGCTTTTAAGAATAGTTGTTGTCAGGTATTGGTATGTCATCCAAAACATAATAGTTTCACCTTTGACATGCATGACATGAGTTTGCAATTACTGCCTTTATATCAAAGAGCTTATGTTAAGCAGCTGTTTAGAATGATGCTTATAACAAAAAGAGGATATTTTACCCCAAGTAAACAAAAGTGAAAATCAAATATCCCTATTAAGAAAATGGATATCCACTATTTTTATTATAGTGCTTTGAATGGGACAGGTAATCTGCTCTAGAATGTTCTCAAATGATAACACATTCTGTTGCATGATAAATATATTGGCAAATTAATAATATATTGCTGAAAGAAAATAATCATTTGGACTAATATAAGCTCTTTGCTTGGTTTCTTTGACTATACATTAAGAACTCTGCTCCAAATTACATAAAATAATGGTGGACAATTTTGCTTGTGAACAGTAAGAATATTTTTTCACCCTTAATAATATAGAGCTTTAGAGATTGATGTAGCAATGTTACTGATTGAAGAATGCCCTGCCTTAAAGCATATGTTTTGCAAATTGTGCTGCCATATTTCTGGGATATGCTGGAAAATTTTAGTTATATTTTTGTAGATATTGTTTGAGTTACAAAAAAAGATTCTGGTATATTCAGAGATAGACTGCTGGGGGTTTGCAGGGTTCGAGAGAGCCCCTAGTTAAGATCCTGTGCAGTTCGGAAAACCCTCAAATCCCACTCCTGGCTGGCCCTGCCCACCCCACCCCATTCCTCCCAGGAGTTCCCATGCAGCCCGTTTTGGATGCAGGTAAGTGCCAGCCGTGTGCAGAGGTTTCGGGAGGGCAAAAAATGGGCCTCCTGGAAGTTCGGGAAGGCTGGAAATGGGCCTGTTTCCGGCTTCTAGAGAGCCTCTGAGCCCAGGGAGGCTGTTTTTGTCCACCCAGAGGCTCAAAGAAAGTCTCTGGAGCCTAGGGAGGGCAAAAACGCCCCCCCTGCCATGGTGCAGAAGGCCGACTAGGTCACACCCGTCATGCCCATGCCCACCCAGCAACCGGACAGAGAACCCTTCACTAAAAATTTTGAGGCCCACTCCTGAATACATCGCTTTTTCTTGATACAAAATATTCCAATTTTCTTTCATAGAATTCAACTTTGTTTTAGTATTTTAATTTTAGGATTACACATTTGAGTGGGCGAATTTGAGACTCAGTGTAAGTAAAAATATAGTATTTCTGGGTTGACATATAATGTGAAATTATATCTTAACAATGGTTAAGAATCCATTTTTTATTTTCCATTCACTCATCATTCAACTTCATAATTTCATTTCCCCTCTATAGTACAATATACAGTGACTTCAGCTGATTTTTTTTTCACATGACCTGCAAATTTGGCTATAATCGCCGACACAAAGTCTTACATTCTGATATTACAACAACCCATGCTTATGAATTACTCAAAAAACCATCCTAGATACTTGCTACTGGATATTTGCAGTGCAGCCCTATGTCTGTCCATCTGTCTATTATCTACAATCAATCTATCCATCCACCTACCCTTCATCCATCCATCCATCTAAACTTCAATGAATTCTGATAATTCAAAGAGCTTTATATTATAATAGTTACACCAGATTATAACACAAAAGTAAAATCATTTATTTTAATTTCTAAATATGTATCTATAATACACAAGGTGGGAGTCATTGTGATTTCTTAATTATCAATCCATATTCATTTATCTAAATTCTAAAAGAATGTTCTACTGAACTTGCTAGGCTTTAAAGAAGATACATATAGGGTTGTATTGTTAGAATGTATAACTTTTTTTAATTAAAAAGGCATTTATAGGTTAAATTTTGCTTTATGCTCCTAGAAATATGCTGATTTATATTAACATATATTATTAATACTCTTGTATTGGTGTTTTTAACTATGTAAATTTTTCTTAACAGCCCTGAAAATGAGTCATGTGTGAAAATAGACATTGAAAAAACATCTGAAATAAAGTATGTAGATGCTGAAACCTCATTATAGAGGTAAAACAATGATATTATTTTATAGGATATATTGAAAGAGAGTGACTTTACAGCTTCTTTAAGTACTAGGTACTTATGTGAACAACAGTGAGATTTTCCAGCAAGAAATGTCTGTCACTGTGGAAATATTTATTTTAGTGGAATGTTTATTTCAATTTTTTAAAAGGAAAAATAATTTCTTTTTTTAGTTATCAGTAAGTCAAAGATCATCTTTAACTATAAATTATTGGTTTTCATTGTATCTGTGATATTTTTATATAATTTTAAATACAAATGTCCTGTTATCAGGCATTTGCTTGTTGGATTTTTGCAAATGTTATGCCAGTTTATAAGAACAAATGATACATATGCAATTTAGTGAATTGCTGTATTTCAGCCTTTATTTCATATTATCTTATGGGTTAAATAATTGTATTTGTATATGAATTATTTCCTGTTGTATTGTTAAACACCATTGTAATGCATTTTTTTAAAAATAAGTCTTATATGTAGTAGTCAACTTCTCAGTTTTATTTTTTAATTCACCAACCACAAGAGCAGATTATACTGAAAGAATAAAGCAGTTTTTAAATATAGAAGTCTAGATTGGCATTTATTTAGACTGCCTTTTAATAAGATTAAACATGATTATGGTTCTCTTTTTGTAAGATAAAATTTAATTTTCCCCTGAGTGTCCTATAAATATATGCCAGAGAGCTGGGGGAGTTTGATGATTGGTAACTGTAGGAGAGGGAAGAAATTTCTATCACATAAATGAAAATTTTCTAGTTAGTATTGTATTAGAACATCTGGATTTACATTAAGAGTTGACTTCTTTTACATAAACTTTATTGCTACTAGACATTGAAAATAAATTTATGTAGATTCTTGAATCCATCATTTTAACATTCAGTTTCAGGAAATAAAACCAGAATTACTTTAAAATTATGTTAAATTTAAAATTTTTTTTTCCAAAGCATATTTGTCTTAGATCAATAAAAGCACTGGTTTACAGTGCACCAAAGATTTTTTTTAATCTTACAGGAAAAGGCATTGCAATGTGTGAGCTTACAAATATTGTTGAACTTTTTTGGCAGCAAGTAGGAATGCAAGATTTGTAGTTTCATTTGGCAATATCTTGAATTCTGAAAAGAGCAAATTCTTGAATATAGTTAAAGCAATTTGTGGATTTTACCTGAAACAAGTGAGAGCAATACAAATAAAATTATTAGTTTGTTGAAAAGGGCCCAATCATTCTCAGAAATGCTCTAATGTAAAACTGAGCAAAGAAAGAAAGAAAGAAAGAAAATTTTGTAGGAAAGCATGTTAAAATGAAAATCTGATGCCTAAAATGATCAAATTAATATTAATATATTTTGTTTTTGATATGAAATTGGAAACTGGATAATATTTTCATTCCTGAGTGCTTGCATAGCTTGTGCCTTAAGATTTTTTTTAAATATGCACTTTTCTTTATTTAAAAATCATACTTGTTTATATCTCATAAATATTTCTGTATCTTTGAAAGTACACTTCCAATTTGTTACTTAGTGTAAGCAAGTGAATCATGTTCATTAGTATTGACAGCATTCCAAATTAATTTTGCTTGTCTTTTGTTATTACAAATATTTGTGTTCAGAGCCATGTGTAGAAATTTACATTCAAATAGATTGCTTTGAATTTTAACCCTTTGTTTTCAAATGCCTGAAATTCAATAATGCTGTTGTTCAATGCCAAAGGGTTAATAAGTTAATTTAAATAAATATCTGAAAATTATTGAAATTCATTATTTATTTGCTAATTATATAAAATAATTCCTAATGACAGAAATAACATGATTTGCGGTGTAGTTTACATTATTTACTTAAATACTTCTTATTAATTCATTATTACGTATTTTAATTTTTTACAGCAGATGTCCAAATATGAAGTGCTAATTTATAATTTGCTGCTTGTTACATGTTGTAAAACATTATTTCTTTTTCCATAAATAAAATTATAGTAATAAAACCAAACAATAAAAGACAGATTTTATTGTATGTAGATATAAATATTGCCCTAAAAGCTATAAATGAGTAAAATTACTGTTTCACCTGAGGGTGAAATCTAATTTATAGCCTGTATATTCCCACTATGAGAATAGCTAAGTGACTGTTTTCTAGATACAGACTGATTTAGTGGAAATAACTGCAGAGCAATCCCAGGAAACATACTTTTTCTGTTCTTTAAAGTGACACATTCTCAGAATATCTGAATTTTAATTCTATATAAACATTTTGTTTAAAATTGTTTAATGTCACCAATACTTTTTTCATGGGTTTGTAGGAACTCATTAACCCATATACACATATATGTGTGTGTGTATACACATACACACACACACAGTTTCTATATTCCACATTATTAAACATACTGAAAACAAATTATTCAATTTTCAGTTTTTCAAGACAATCAATAAAATATGTAAGATAGTGTTCAAAGCATGTACATTATTTAGCTTCCAATATGATATTTTTCCTCTTTTACTTCAGTTGAATTTATTTCTGTGTATGGTAGGCTTATAAACAGTGTTGTTTGGTAAAAAAAATTCCATTTATAATTGTAATGTCAGGTAACTGTGGTACATTACAAATATTCATGGGTCTTCATTGCTTAAAAGAGTTGTTAATGAATTGTGTTATGTCCCCAACATAGTGCATGTTGGCCATTAGTATAATATATTGAATGTTACTTTCTTTTGATATATTTTGGTCAATAATGTAATCGTTGTTAGGATGATTAATATAGGTTCTATGTGTTACTTAGCACAATTACTATGAAGAACCCTTTAATTTCATGAATGAATAGGTATGTAGTGTCCATAGATACTTGTATTAATACAAAATGTCCTGTGATTTTACTATTTGAATTTTTTAATTACTTTTTAGAAAATTTATCAAGAACAGGAAAATGGTTATAATTGGTGTGAAAATTTAAAAAAATCATATTTAGCATATATTGTCACTGTTTTGCAAACTTAGCATAACTTATTTAATTGACAGGTTTTTATAAATGCAGTTTATTGGTTAGAGATGCATCCTTTGAAAACTTCCCTTTTGTCACTGATACTTTGTTTTGTCAGTGTCTTCCAATGTTCAGAGTGTTTCCTGAACAAAACAATTTACTTTAATTTGACATGTAATTCCACAGTATATTCCAATTTATATAACGGTTTTCTACATCATTTTCTTATAGAATTATATCCAAAGTTACACTGTTTGAATGTAGAGATAATATTTTATTCTTTTATATAATGCCAACAAAATTCTTCAGTATGTAATAGAAAAATATCCAATGTTTTATCATTTGTTTAATGACTATTTTTTGTAATATTTGAAAAGGTTAAAAAAGCAATAAAATGTTACTGCTTTTAAAGATTTGAGTTACTTTTTTTTATACGTTGTACCTATACTAAAGGTGCTTTTTCAAGAGGCAACTGGACTTTCTGGTTTTTCTTTGAAGATGTTTCGCTTCTCATCTAAGCACTTCAGCTCTGACTAAAAATCTCCATAGACATTGTACCTGTAGGATTAATATTTCATATGAGGGGGGAAAAGGATCCTTCAATATTAGACCCTTTCTGTGAGGGCCCACCATTCCGAGTGTGAATAACAACTAGCAATTGAGTTTCCTTGCTGCCATCACCTCATCACTATAAACCAGTTTCTCCTCACCACACCAGCCCTATGGGAAACCAGAAAAAGTTTGAAAGGGAAATCCTTGTCCCACTCTAGGCCTGACCAAACACTGAAGAGAAACAAATGTTTAGGAATCAGTGGCCAGAAGCTAATATTTCAGCCAACCTGAGGATGATAGAAGCAACCCAACCAAGACTAAAAAAACAAAGAAAAAACCTTATCAAAAGAAAATAAGTTTTGAAGGAAGGAAGGAAGGATATGACTGTTAATATGAGTCTGCTAATGTAGTAATCTTCCAAAGAAAACTCAGAAATAGCAGATCTTGTTAAACAACTTAAGCCTGGTAATGATTTTATTGCTACTAAAGTTGTTCGATCCTGTCCTCAGTTAGTTTCATTTATAGATTGCAAAGTATTAATTCCAAAGGACTAGGTTTAGTTTTGATAGTTCCAATCAATAAAAATGGTATCTGGGTTTTGCTTGCTAATTTTTGGCCTACGACCAAACATGTAGTCCTGCTATAAGAATTTTGCATTATAGCTGGGATATATTTTTTGCTTGGAGCCATATAGTCCATTTACCTTTTTAGAGAGAATACAATCTAAATAATTAGGGATTTATTTCAAATCCCACAATGTGTTCCCAACATTATCTTACATTATAAAACTGGCAGAACAAACACTGAAATTCTTATCTCTCTCCTATTGGCTAAATTACAGGTACTTTTTTTCAGTTACAATGGTGCTGAATAAGTGGTGGTTATCATCAGTCTTTGGAATTCCGGCCATCACAGCATCCTGCTATCATATGATCTGATGCTTGGCAACTGGCTTGTACTTACAAAGTTGCAGAATCCCACAGTCATGTGATTGCAATTTGCTACCTTCCCTGCCAGCTTCCCAAAAGCAAAGTCATTTGGCAGAATGGCAGGCTGAAAGATGGATGGTGCAACGGGACACAAGACCCGGGGATGGACAGTGTGGCATAAATGAAAGAAAATCAGGAAGTCTTACCAGAGTGACTTGCAATGTTCCTTGCTGGCTTACTTATTGACTTTGCTTCTGGGAAACTGGCAGGGAAAGTTGCAAATGGCGATTGTGTGACCATTGGATTAACCTTCATAAATGAGGCCCAGCTGTCAAGATTCCAAATTGCAATCACATGCCATGTCAGTGCTAGAATGGTTGGAATTTCAAGGACTGGTTCTGATTACCATTTGTTCAGTGCCATCACAACTTTGAACAGTTGCTGAATAAGTGGTTGACAAATAAAGACTACATTTAAAGCTGTGCCTAATTGCAATTAAAAATTGATTAGCAAAGTGAAATTATATAGGCTATTGTTCTTAATGTTTCACTATAGTAATACTAATTTGGGATAAATGTGTTTAAATACATTTACAGAGTTACAAAAATTATCAGTCGGACTGGTAATAGAAAAAAAGATTTGAATGATTAGCAGCTATTAACTTGCAAATGTATGCTATACAGAAAGTGTGAATTATCTTGTGCTTCGTTGAGAAGTTTGCCCAAGCCACTAGCTTGAAGGGGGAAAACTTAATTCCTGAAAATCCTGGTAAGAGATGTGAGTAATTGTTTGTGGAAAAAATGGCAGACCACCATCATTTCTATGATCATATTCCTGGAATAGAAACTCATTCTTACAAAGAAGGAATGGGTTCCTTGGGAAAGAACTAATGCTGTCCTTCAAATATATGTTGGTGGGGATTCCTAGAGGTGAAGTTTATGTTTATTCATACTGGCAATAGAAAAAAGAACATGATGCCTGTAAAATATATGGTTATTTACTTGTGTGATATAATAGATGTTCACACATTATATGTATTACCTGAAATTTAGTACTGAGAAGAAATAAGAAGTCATGGTACTTTTCAACATAAATTAACAGGGAGAAATGAAATGTGCCCTAGAAAGCAAAAATAAACTCTTTGATAAGAGATTAACAATAGCTCCATCTAAAATGCTATTTGATTAAAGAGCTGGTCTTGCTATACAAACAAAACTGAAAATTCTAAATATGTGGATGAGAGAGTGGGATACAGATAAAGACTTCATAAGTTTAGGCATTTAGGGACAATTTATGACAGGCTCTAGGCCTATATTCTGTCCAACTTGAACAATCCCCATATGGTGCCTTTCAAAACAAAAGTTCCTCAGAATAGCTTTTTGTATGTGTGCCTTCAAGTCAGTTTTGATTCCTTGGCAGGAATTTATCACTGCTTATTTCTTAAGGCTGAAGAGAGTGATTGGCCCAAGTTCACCTAGCTGGCTTAATTCCTAAAGCGGGACTAGAATTCAAGG